TTGGCACCACCACTATCAGGTTTATTATTAAATTTTATTATTAAATAAAGGTTACTGGAATGAACATAAACACTAAGATACTCAAGTCTGATCAAAGAGATAGCCATGAGGCTCTCTACCCGTGGACCTGACTCTATTACCAGAATGTTTGAGGAGATGATCAGGAAACTTCTAGGTAAACTTGGAATCAGTTAAGAGTCTGGATAGTTTGGGGTATATATTTGTTAGGTATGATAAAACCTTGCCAATCATCTTTAACCCATACAAGATGGTCCATGTCACAATACCTTTGTTTTAAGCTCTAGATCAGTGGTTCTCAGCCTGCAGGTCACAATCCCTTAAGAGGTTGCATATCAGATATCTTGCATATTGGATATTTAATTATGATTCATAACAGTGGCAAAATTACAGTTATTTTTTCCTGTGTTCATTCATTCATTTTCCTTTTTCTTTAAAAAAATTTTTTTTTTTTTTTTTTTTAAATATTTATTTATTTATTATGTATACAATATTCTGTCCCTGTGTATGTCTGCAGGCCAGAAGAGGGCACCAGACCTCATTACAGATGGTTGTGAGTCACCATGTGGTTGCTGGGAATTGAACTCAGGACCTTTGGAAGAGCAGGCAATGCTCTTAACCACTGAGCCATCTCTCCAGCCCTTTAAAAAATTTTTATACTGTTTTTATTGAGCTATATTTTTCTCTGCTTCCCTCCCTTCCGTCCTGCAAAATTAGTTACGAAGTAGCAACAAAATAATTTTATGGAGCCAGGCAGTGGTGACACATGTCTTTAATCCCAGCACTCGGGAGGCAGAGGCAAGCAGATCTCTGTAAGTACGAGCCATGTCTCGAAAAACCAAAAATAAAAATAATTTTATGGTTGGGGGTCACAACATGTGGAACTTGAAGGGCCATGGTATCAGGAAGCTGAGAACCGCTGCTCTAGACGCACAAGTGTATGAGCGACATACCAACACACGCTGTACTTCTAGACGCCAAAGAGAAATGGTAGGGAACAGATGAACAAGTGTATGAGCGACATACCAACACACGCTGTACTTTTAGACGCCAAAGAGACATGGTAGGGAACAGATGAACAAGTGTATGAGCGACATACCAACACACGCTGTACTCGAGAACAGATCAAAGAATAGACGGATTACAGAAAGTAAGACAGAACCTTAGATATAATCATAAGTCATCAGGCAAAACAATTTAACTCAGATTCTCTCTAGAGCTATATTTTACTACTGATTCCATTTTTTGTTTTAATTGTGTGGGAACCATAGCCAGGTGTGATGGTCCGCACCAATGTTGGGAGGATGAGGCAGGAGCAATACTACAACACTACACCAAGGCCGGCCTAGGCCGCGCGCATGTGCGCGCACATGCACACACACACACACACACACACACACACACACCTGTCTCAAAATATAAAACAACAACAACCACAAAGGTTCCTTCCTTTATTTCCTCTCTCTAGTTTCTTTTGTACCTTCTTCTTGTGGATAACATTAGCCATTCTTATATGGAGACTCCCCCAAACTATGCAGATGACGTGCTGTAAGTGCGCCATAGGATCGTATCTATTCTAAACATCTGTGTAGCGAAACACATGACTCAAGACAAGAATCGAGTGAGTCAGAAGGAACCAATGGAAACAGGAACCCAAAAATTACACTGCAGTTTTACAGAAGTTCATATTTTAACTGTTTGGTGTCTAACACCCAGCCTTCAAGCTTAGGTCAGCTTTGGAATCTCCACAATTCTACCCTAAGTAACTTGGGGGTAATCCTGGGTGAATCCAATGACATTCCCCCTGCAGATGTGGAAGGTGAAAAAGCCACCTGAACACCAGCAGCTGTCTCTCATTGCTGGGAAGGATAACAATCCAGCAGGCTAAGAATGTTAGATACCAAGTTTAGGTAAAGATGTACGACAACTCTTCATCTCATTTGAAACGCTTCTCCAACCATCCTTATGTGAGTTCGCTCTAAAATGTATTACATTAGATGTATTCTGCAGTTTCCAGAGTAGGCTAAAAACAGCAATTAGCATATACATACAGAGAACATCAGTACTGCGGTCTCTAAGAAGAGTAATTCCAAAGAACATTAAAGAATGGTGTTCTCCAAAGCTACAGAGAAACCCTGTCTCGAAAACCCAAAAAAAAAAAAAAAAAGAATGGTGTTACTGGGGCCAGCAAGAGGGCAAGAGGACTCAGTGGGTATGCGGGCTTACATACTTGATTACCGGAGTTCCATCCCAGGAATCCACAAGCTGTCTCTGACTGTGGTATGTGTACAACCACCATAGTGATTTGAATGAGAAGGGTGCCATAGACTTGAATACTGGGTCCCCAGTTGGTGGAATGGTTTAGGAAGGAAGGATTAGCAAGTACGGCCTTGTTGGAGAAGTTGTCCCTGGGCACGGGCTTGGAGGATTTAAATGCCCATGCTATTCCCAGTTAGTTCTCTCATCCTGGTGCTTGTCTAAGACATGAGCTCTCAGCCATTGCTCAAGTGCCAGCTCTGCTTGCTGCCCTGCTCCCTGCCGTGCTCCCCGCCGTGCTCCTCGCGTGATGGCCATGGACTTTAACCCTCTGGAAAACTGCAAGGCAGATAAACGCTTTCTTCTAGAAGTTGCCTTGGTGATGGTCTTTTGTCACTGAAATAGTAAAAATGAACTAAGACAGAAGCTGGTACAATTTAGACCAGGATGGCGTCAAACTTAAAGCCATCTGGGCCCTCAGAATGGCTAGCAGGCAAAAGTTCTTAAGTCAAGCCTGACGACCGGAATTTGATCACTGGTACCCACATGATGGAAGCAAAGAATGGATTCTTACAAGCTGTCCTCTGACTACCTACCATGTGTGCACCCCTCAACACATACGCATACAAAAAATAATAAGTAAAATGTACAGCAAACAAAAACTCAGCAATTCTCCTGTCTCTGCCTCCAAAGTGCTGGCATTACAGGCATGAGACACCATACCCAGTTGACATAATGCTTTCAAATCCTGCCTATTGCTTACTTAATTCTTATACTTTAGTTTCTTCATTGAGAATAATTATGAGTAAATCAAGTTACATGGTTAACTCAGGCAAAATATATATCAGCAATACCTACTCCTAGAAAAGCAGTTCAGATGGAAGTGTACTTAGCATGCAGGAGGGGCCCTGGATTTAATTCCCAAGCACCAAATAAAGCAGTGCCTAGAACAACATGTTCAGTATAGTGTCTCTCTCTCTCTCTCTCTCTCTCTCTCTCTCTCTCTCTCTGTGTGTGTATATATATATATACACATATATATATATATGTCTGTATATATATATATTTGAGATGAGGTTGCATGAGATTGCTGAGGGCCACCTGAAACTTGAAATTTTCCTGCTTTAACCTTCCAAGTAGTGGAGATTATAGTAACTGCCTCATAATTATTAAATATGTTATTATGGAACACTGTCCTCAGAGCATAAACAACCATTACCATCTTAATCAGAGCAACTGTGATTAGTCACAAAAGGTTCTCAAAATTGGGCCTGTTGACCTTCCCGGGGTAGAATGAGAAGACGGGGTGTCATTAGATTCTCACCTGAGATTCCAGCCACCCACTCCCAGCTCTGGCCCAACCTCACTTGGTCTTGAGGGTTGCTACAGTGTGGAAGTAGAAAGCTAGAGGAAAACCTGACAACAAAGGAACAACAACAAAGAAGCAAAAAGTCCTACCAAGTATGATAAATATTTAAGGTACAGGCTAAGTTATTTAATCATTTACTTTAACATGACCTCTCCCAGTAGCACAGTAAGAAGTATTTCTCCTGTTTGTTCTTATCTACTTCAAAGTGTTCTTTCTATTATATCTCAATACATCATATTACAAATAACAAGTGTCCAATGGCTACCTTGGGCATCAACTTTGCTAGTGACTGAAATATTAAAATTTCTTACTTTGACTAAGTTTGGATTTTAAAGTACTTAAGCTTTAATCTCAACACTTGGGAGGCAGGCTGGTCACTAGGTTCCAGGCCAGCCTGGGCTACACAGTAAGATCACGTTTTGTTTTGTCTGTTTGTTTGTTTTAAGTGCTTTAGCAAATGAGGTCTCACAGGTTTTAAGCGTCGTATTCTCCAAGAGAAAAGAACCTGAGAATGATCCATTTTACCTGGCTGTGACTGAACTACCAGTATTTTACCAGGAAAGGCAGCAGGGCAGAAGAGGTTATTTCAATGCTTACAATATCTTGTAGAAAGAAACTACACTATTTTCGAAAGGCTGAGAACATGCTGTCAAAAAGTTGCCTGTTTCTAAACTCCCCTGCAGTCAATCATCCCCGTCTCCAGGCCAAACCCACCCAGATGACAAGCAGCAAAAGAGAAAGTTCTCTCTCTCTCCTCAACCCTGACGTCTTTCACTTCCTCCACCACCAGTTTGCTTTTCCTAACAGTGCAGTGACTAATGACTAAGGACGAAGAAAAGGAGTGTAACAAACAGTACTTCAAGATACTTTTCTCAAACCAACTACTCCGAGCCCAATTTAGGTAAAAAGTTATCCTTTGACTGCCCGTGCTCTTGGTATGCGCCCGCGGGGAAGTCAAGGTAAGTAGGGACATTCCTAGACAGTGAAGTGTGCAATGCCACGAGCCTCGGGGTCGGTTTTCTCAACAACTATCTCAGAACTGTGTGGTCATTAGGGGCACCAGGCAGTCTGTTAAAACTAAGGAGCAACACCGAGGCTGGAGGTGAAAGATGGGGAGTCGAACCACACAAGTCCAGGGCACCACCATCGCGCCTCCCTTCCTGTGCTGGGCTCGCGCTGGTCGCCAACGCCTGGCGTCCTTGCTTTCGGCCCAATCTACCGAGAAGTGGCCGGAGTTCACTTCTCCCCTCAAGTCCGACCCCGTCAAAATTCAACCATCACCACACCCTCTTTCTCCTCGGAATATCAACCTATCCTTTCCACTGACCAGCTCTCAGTCACATTCCAAAAGACTCACCGGGCTGCTCCTGCCTCTCCTCTCCAGCCCCGGCAGATCGGACACTCCTAGATAGGACCCGGTGCTAACTCGCGCGCATGCGCCCCCCTGAGGACTTCTACGCCTGCGCACTCGCCGGGAGCCGTGGGGTTAGACACGCCTCTACAGCTGGAGCCAATCACCGTGCGAGGGGGGGGCGGGTTAACTCGCTTGCCACGCAGGCGGAGAGCCTGGGAACTCACCCGTTAACCAGAGAGATTCCCCCAACCCCCGCCCGAGGGTGGGAGGAGTTCTTGCACCCAGCCTTACTCACGAAAGGCTGCTGTTTGCGGGACACCTAAAGAGTTTGCACACCTAAGAAAAGTTGGAATGACTGTCGAAGTCTACAGGATGTTTTGATTCGTCTAAACCGGAGAAATAGATGCGTTAACACATTACAGTAAACAGAATACGGTGCACAGGAACTCCGGGCTGCCTTTGGCCCACAATGAACAAAACTTATTTTGAGGGGTGCCTGTATGGTTACCGCAGGAAGTTCCTCTTAGAGTCACGAAGGATAAGTAGGAAGCCCTCCGGAAGTCAAGGAAATAAGAACTTTGCCGGCTGTGACAATGGGATGCCAAGAACAACGAGGCGCCTTCTGGAAGTTTCTTGAGGTTCATTCTTGTTAGAAGTTTCTTTCTGAGTCCAGAGAAATGAAGGCGTGATAGCTCACATCGTGTAGTTCCCAGGCTATTTCGAAGGCTGAGGTTGGAAGATCACCTGACTTCTGGCATGTAAGGCCAGACTGACGACATACTGAGATCCTGTTTCAACACCAACTCCAGAGGAGGAAGAAAGTAGGGGCTATCTGTAAGGTAGGGGAGAAAGGTAGCACTTAGCACACCAGAGGCTTATCCCTGAGTCCATCAACAGCAGCGCTGGGAGTCAAGCTAGGAAGAGAGGCAGCTCTTTAAAGAGTAAATTTTGGAATAATGAGCCAAATAATAATTCATTTTATGGCCATTTAATTACTAAAGGATTTTAGACCACTTGCCCCAAGAATTCTTCCAAGCACCTCTAGGAGTAAAGCCAAATGCTAGCAATCTAGAGAATAAAACTATTTCAAAGAAATAGTATCTTCCTAAGTTATAGAAGATGAAGCTTGGGAAATGTCTTTTAAATTTAATAACCTGGGAGTGGTGACAGTTGACAAACACTGCAATAGTCTGGAGAGGGGAGAGAAATCAGGACAGATTATAAAGAGCCTCTGAAAAGGGAGAAATTATGTGTTCTGTTCGTTTTTATTTTATCAGAATGAAGACAGGAAAACATGAATATGGGAGAAAAGACCCAAATGAGAAAAACGATTGAATTTTTAAAAAGGGTGTGCGTGATAATCTAGATAAAGATTTTGAGAGGGTTAGAGCTGAAGTACTCAAACCACTGATGGAGTTGGTGGTGCATGCTTGTCTTTAATCCCAGCACTCAGGAGGCAAAAAAAGGGGGATCTTTTTGAGTTTGAGGCCAGCCTGATCCATATAGCTCCAGGTCAGCCAGAACTGCATAGTAACCCCTTGTTTTAAAAATAAAATAAAATCATGGTTTGGAGAGATAGCTGTTCTTCCAAAGGACATAAATTCAGGGGCCTCCACAGGCACCATGCACAAGGATGGTACACAGATATTCATGCAGGATAAACATACAGGTAACATATAAAGAATTTCTTAAAAATCAAACTGATAGGAAACCTAGGATAGTGGCATAATTCTATAATCTCAGTATCACGAGATGGTGGATTACAGTACAAAGTCATCGCTGACTATACAATGATTTTGAGGCTAGCATTAGCTACCTGAGACCCCATCTCAAACAATAAAACCCATAGGACAGAGGCTGCTGGCAAGAAGGTTCATCAGATAAAGGCAGTTGCTATCAAGCCTGAAGACCTGATTTCCATCCCTGGAACCCACACAGACATGGGTCCCCTGACTCTATATACGTCCACCAGATGACAAGAATGTTGCTCCACACAGACACAAATAAATAGATGTAAAAACAAACAACCCTAGACACTGACCTGAAAGGAACATTCCCAGAAGAGAGACCAACCCACACAGAGTTGGGGGGGGGGGGGAGGAAGATTCTCATAACAACAAAATGTATCTGTAAGCCTGTCTGTTTAGAAACAGGAAGTTGTTTTCTGAGAAGTCAGAGAAAGAGCCTCTGCTGATTAGAAACGTGGCTGCAGGGGCTGGAGAGATGGCTCAGCGGTTAAGAGCACTGCCTGCTCTTCCAAAGGTCCTGAGTTCAGTTCCCAGCAACCACATGGTGGCTCACAACCATCTGTAATGAGATCTGGTGCCCTCTTCTGGCCTGTAGACAGAATACTGAGAATACTGTATATAATAAATAAATCTTTAAAAAAAAAGAAAAAAAAAAGAAAGAAAGAAACGTGGCTGCAAGTTCGAGATGATTGTAGAACGTGATAAACTAAACTGACCAGGGAAGAGGACTGATAAGCACTATAAACTGCTGGTTTACAGCCTGTAGAAATGAACTCAGCAGTTTCTGTTTTGTTGATCTTTCTCAAATCACTTCTTCAGGGCAGGGAGGAAGAACACATATGGCTGAATTCATTTAGAGCTGGGATGATCGTGGACGTGAAAGAGTAGTTCTCAGCTAGGGGCCGTTTCTGTCCTCCACAGGACCTTGGGCAGGGTCTGGAGAGTTGGGGGAGCCTTATCTTAGAATGCACTAGCCAGCAACTGATGGCAATTATCTGCTCCAAAACGTTAATATTTTAAAGTTGTGAAATCCTGCTGGGCAGTGGTGGCGCACGCCTTTAATCCCAGCACTTGGAAGGCAGAGGCAGGCGGATCTCTGAGTTGGAGGTCAGCCTGGTCTACAAGAGCTAATTCCAGGACAGGATCCAAAAACTACAGAGAAATCCTGTCTCGAAGAAAAAAAAAAAGGTTGTGAAATCCTGATTTAGGGTTATCTTGGTCCTCACCTATATTGCCTTTCCCTTAAATTATGGCTCAGAATTTACAGAGCAAAGCAGTTCTGTAGCATGCTTCAAGGATTTGTGATGTCACAAACACACAATTGGAAGAATTCCCTAAACCTTTAGAAAGAATCTGGATTTACACATTAATGAAGGTAGCTGTTTATTTTGATTTGAGGCTTTGATAGTTTTCTTTCTTTCTTTCTTTCTTTCTTTCTTGTGTGTGTATGTTTTTTTTTGAGACAGGGTAGCCTTGGCTGTCCTGGAACTCACTCTGAAAGACCAGGCTGGCCTCAAACTCACAGAGATCTGCCTGCCTCTGCTGGGATTAAAGGTGAGCGTGAGCGCCACCACGCCCAACTCTGATAGTTTTCTTAAATGGAGCTGTTCTTGTTGCACTGCTCATTAGCAACCACAATGTAACTGTTTACTGTAATCACTGCAAGATCCCAAACGAGCATGGCTGCTCAAAATTTAATATTACATTAAATATTCTCGTTTGAACCCTAAAAACTGACATTCCAAGAAAAATATCACTTTACATAAAGTTAAAAATTACTGTGGGGGGGGGCTGGAGAGATGGCTCAGTGGTTAAGAGCATTGCCTGCTCTTCCAAAGGTCCTGAGTTCAATTCCCGGCAACCACATGGTGGCTCACAACCATCTGTAATGAGGTCTGATGCCCTCCTCTGGCCTGCAGAATGCATGCAAACAGAATATTGTATATATAATAAATAAATAAAAAAAATTACTGCCGGGTGGTGGCGGCGCACTCCTTTAATCCCAGCACTCGGAAAGCAGAGGCAGGCGGATCTCTGTGAGTTCGAGGCTACAGAGAAACCTTGTCTCTAAACCTCTCCCCCCACGGTAAAAGTGGCAAAAGGCTTTTAATCCCAGATAATCCTAGCACTCAGATTAGCAGAGGGATCTCTGAATTTTAGGCCAGGCTGTTATACAGAGCAAGTTCCAGGACAGCCAGGGCTACCCAGAGAAACTTTGTCTCGAAAAACAAAACGAAAATAAATAATTACTAGCTAGGCTAAGATTTAAATTTAGTTCTGTTTTTGCTGAGACAGTTTCACTTTGTAGCCCAGAAACTATGTAACCCTGGCTAGCCTTGACCTCATATTGACCCTCCTCTTACAACCTCCAGAATCTGGGGTCTAGGTCTACCTGCTCAAAAGTTTCACAAAAAAATGAATAGTTTTGAAATTTAGTTAAGACAGTGTCACAGTTTATGGTGGAGGGCTATTAAAGTAGGAAAGAAAAAAAAAGTCCAGAAAAAGCTAGGAGAATGAGTGGGGGAAGGCTGAATGAAAGCGAGGTGCAGCGGACCTACCTGGGTTCTTCTTGTGAAGGGCCTTTTGCCCGGTGTCCGTTGTTCACTTCTTATGTTCAAATAAAGCTAGATGATTGAAAGGAGCGGATCGGGTGGGGGGGGTGGGGAAGGGAGCGCGCGGGCTGCGTGCGCTTGCGCGCTGGCGGCGGCGGCGGCGTCAGTGCCCGGCGGGGAGCGGGTCCCAGGCCGCCGCCGGACCGGAGGCTAAGGGGGCCTCTGGGAGCTCCCTCGCCGGGCCCTCGGTAGCCTGATGGCGTAGGAAGGACGGGCTGTGAGTGTGAGTATGGAGGGCCTGGCCTGGTGGGGCGTATCGGAGGCCGAGGGTCGAATGGTCTGCCCCTTGAGCATGTGGTGGGGCTGCGCCTGCACGGAAGCCACGCCACGGTGCCGCCTCCGATCCGCGTGGGTTTAGAGTTTACGGGTGAGCGGGGCACCTGGCTTCAGGGTACAGACCCACGGGGGCGGTCCGATTCTGCTCGCAACCCCTCAGGCTGGACGCGTGGCTCCAGGTCTTTGACCTCTGGGACAGGCCCTGACCTTTGTCGGCCTGGGGTCCGGGAGGAATCTCAGCCTTAGTCTTGTGTTTAAAAGCTGCGGATTTCAGTTTAGAACCACCTTCCCGCCTCTCAAGACTGACAGTCTCGCCTCTTTTTTCTGCCTTTGAGGTCTCTGCTTTGGGGAAACTGTTCTAGCAACTAGTGAAACACTATGTGTCCATTTAATATTTAGTATAATCTCAGTGCATAGTTAATGGAGAGGAGATGCTTGCACCGCCTCCCACTTCAGTGTGGTCTGTGTAGTAATCATCTTTGAGAGTAAAGTAAGCCATCTTGTTGGGGAAGTTTTAGATTTCACTGTTTCTGTTTGTTTTTTTTTTTTTTTAAGCATCTTAGACCCAGATAAGGAAGTTCTTTTAGCAGATTAGAACTACAGCCATCATAATGGTTTACATTGAGTTGATTTAAGACACATAACCTTTTAATACTAAGAGCCAAAGGCTCTTCTAAAATCCCATGGGGGAATCTTAAAATGTAACTTTGTTTTCAAGTTTGGCCAAGAATAACAGACTCGACTAGGGTTTACTTCGCACCCACTATGCTGCACTCACTAAGTCCAGGTGTGTCACAGGAAATTAACGGGATATTATAATAGATGATTTTTTTGGCAGCACTTTTCAGGTTACTGAGATACTGAAGACTGATGGTGATTTGCTTAAGCTCACGTGAGTGGATTACTGAACTTTCTCTGAGGTGACAGCAAAGCCCATCTTTTTCTGTTATGCCAAGCACTGCTGTTTGGAAAGCGAACTGAAGTTAACTATTGGGTCTAGAAAACAGTTGATTTTTATTTTTGAGACAGAATCCAGCTTATCTAGCCCAGACTGGCCTTGAATTTGAGAGCCTGAGTTTAATCACAGAGTACTTGGATTACAGGTATGTGCCCGTCTTAGCTTTTTGTTTTGCTTTGCTTTGTTTTGTTTTGATTTTTGAGACAGGGTTTCTCCATGTAACAGTCCTAGCTGTCCTGGGACTGCTTGATAGGCCAGGCCAGCTTGAAACTCACTGAGCTCCGCGGCCTCTGCCTCCCAAGTGCTGGGATTAAAGGCTGCACTGCCTGGCTCTATCTTAGCTCTTAACTAGAGAAAGTGTCGGGAGATTTTGAAGAGAGCTTCAGAGCAGCTAAAAAAGAGGAAAGGGGTCTCATCAAACCAGTTCAGAATCAAATTGCTTTGATAGAAAGGAAGGTATTTTTTTAAATATATTCTTTTTTAAGATTTATTTATTTATTATGTATACAGTATTCTTAGTATTCTGCATGTATGCCTGCAGGCCAGAAGAGGGCACCAAATCTTATTACAGATGGTTGTGAGCCACCATGTGGTTGCTGGGAATAGAACTCAGGACCTTTGGAAGAGCAAGCAGTGCTCTTAACCCACTGAGCCATCTCTCCAGCCCAGAAGGTATTTTTTTTGTTTGTTTTTTTGTTTTTTTCGAGACAGGGTTTCTCTGTGGTTTTGGAGCCTGTCCTGGAACTAGCTCTTGTAGACCAGGCTGGTCTTGAACTCACAGTGATCTGCCTGCCTCTGCCTCCCAAGTGCTGGGATTAAAGGCGTGCGCCACCACCGCCCGGCCCAGAAGGTATTTTTTAAAAAGAAAAACTATAGTAGTTATTGCATGTCTAATCTAGACATGCAACGAATTCAGGGCGAGTCTGTGAGAAAAGCAAGGTACATTGAGTGGTTCTGAAACCCGGGATGATTCAGTGAGAACTATACAGACAAGGTCTTATTTGGGGTACCAGAAAGGAAGGTTAGTATTTGTGTGCCCAAGGAATAAGAGCCCTAAACAGACCAATTGCATGAGATTACTCTGGCTGTACGTCTCAGATGCAGAGGTGCCCACTCAAAGCTTGCAGTCTGTTGCTGTTGCTGTAATCTGAAAGAGACTATCAGAAAATCTGAGTTCCCAGGTGTGTATCAGAGGACCTGTGAGGCCGGCCGATGGTGGCGCATGCCTTTAATCCCAGCACTCAGGAGGCAGAGGCAGGTGGATCTCTGTGAGTTCGAGACCAGTCTGGTCTACAGAGCTAGTTCCGGGACAGGCTCCAAAGCCACAGAGAAACCCTGTCTCGAAAACCAAAACAAAACAAAAAACAGAGGACCTGTGAAAACGAGACAACTCTGTTCAAATAATGAATGAGTTCTGGGATACTCTTTGTACAGTATGAAAGTGATGGTGTCAAGAGGGTGTACAATAGTGCCAATTTTAAGTGGATATACATGTACGCATATGTATTACATATAAGGACATAGAATGTGGAAAGTTGTCAGAATCAATTGAAAGTGTAGAATGAATGTGAAAGTCGGGATGGAAAATAGAAGTGAAAATTTATTGTCCAATGGCTCCAGAGTTTCAGTTTCACACTCTGTGAGGTTTTTTGCAAGCTAAATAAGCAGTCTTCTAAGCTTCATCTTTCAGCCCTAAGCTTTTTCATGTTTTTTATGACAAAAAGTTGTAAACTTTTCTTCTGTCTGCATGTATACCTGCAGACCAGAAGAGGTCGCCAGATCTCATTACAGATGGTTGTGGGCTACCACGAGGTTGCTGGGAACTGAACTCAGGGCCTCTGGAAGAGCAGCCAGTGCATCTCTCCAACCCTCAGGCTTGTTTGTTACGACAGAACTTGTTACAACAAATTGGATGCTTTTTGAATTCGGGTTAAACACTTTGGTGATGATGCCTGCCTTTCTTTCTGTCTGTTGTTTTCCCACTGTTAGTGATACTGAGATTGACTAGGGTTTAGTGGTGAATTTAGCCTCCATGGTCACCATTTTTGTTTTTGTTTTTTTTTTTTTAATAGTTTTTAGCTTTATAGCCATAGCTGACTTGAACTCAGTAGGTAGACCAATCTTGCCTTGAACGTGCAGCAGTTCTGACTCTGTGCAGCATCACCTCCATTGTTAAATTGTCTATCAGTTCTTCTGTGTCTTTAAAACTGTTATACACCTAGTATTTCCTATTCAAAATGTAATTGAGTGTCTTCAGAAAGGCAAAGCTCATGGTAAGAAATTACTATTTTTAACCTTTTTACGTGTATCATGTGTCCACGCTAGTGTGGGGCTCCATCCCCAGTCCACTATTCCATTTATCTATCTGTCTATTTATTTATTTATTTTGGCAGGGTATCTCAGGCTGGCTTGAAATTTACTCTCTAGACCAAGCTGGCATTGAACTCACAGGGATCCACTTGCCTCTTCCTCCCTCATTCTGGACCACTGTTCACTTTTTATAAAGAAATTGAAGTTTGAAATTAGCTTTACTTAAACCCATGTGGTGGTGTTTAATTTGGAGTCTGCTTTTTCCTACCATGCTCTATGGTAGGAGACTGGGAAGTGAGTGGGGAGTTGTTACTCTAGTGCTACTTGTGCTTTTGTTTTGCTATTGTTTTTTTGAGACAGTCTTACTATGTAGCACTGCTAGCCTCATGCCTCAGCCTCCCTGGTGCTGTGATTGCTAGTATGTGTCACTGTGCCCGTTTTGAGATAATTTTACTTAGGTATGTATACACGTGTGCTGCAGTGCGTGTGTGGAAGTCAGAGGACAACCGGCAGGGTTGGTTCTCTCCTTCTACTTTATGGTGTCCTGAGATTGAATTCAGGACATCAGACTTGGCAACAAGTGCCTTTACCTCCTGAACATTTCACCAGTCCAGCTGTGCTTGTTTAGCTTCAAAAGGTCATCAGAGGTTGATTACTAGGATATTTTGAAAAATCACATATACAGCAAGTGCTATTCATGGTTTTTGTGAATTTTTTTGTTGTTTTGTTTTCTTTTGGTTTTTCAAGACAGGGTTTCTCTGTGTAGCTCTGGCTGTCATGGAACTTGCTTTGTAAACCCAGCTGGTCTAGAACTCACAGAGATCACCTGCCTCTGCCTCCCAAGTTCTAGGATTAAAGGCATGCACACCATGCCTGACTTATTTATGGTTTTTGGGGGGAGGGGGAAGGGGAGGGGGGTTAGAGACAGGGTTTCTCTGTGGGTTTGGTGCCTGTTCTGGAACTAGCTCTTATAGACCAGGCTGTCCTTGAACTCACAGAGACCGCCCGCCTCTGCCTCCCCAGTGCTGGGATTAAAGGCGTTCACCACCACCACCCAGCTTATTCGTGGTATTTTTAAGCAGTAATACAGTCAATACCAGTTTGTTTTTATAGTTGCTAAATCATAATTTCATGTTTTTTAATAAAGTCATGCTAAAGAATATATATTGAGGTACCTATTTCATAGTAAATCACATTTATCTTTTATTTTAATTAGCACATTGTATTGATGTTTTAAATTTCATATGTGCAGTAGGAAGTTGTGGTTGAATAAGAATTGTCCCCCATAGGCTCATCTCTTTGAATGCTTAGTCACTTTTGATTGGAATAGGAGGTGTGTCCTTGTTGCAAAGGAAGTATGCCACTGGGTTGGGGGGGGCTTTGAAGTTTTCTTAGCACCACACCTACCTGCTGCTGTGGCCCCTGCATAACAGACTGAGCCCCTGAAGCTGTGAGCAGGCCTCTAGTTAAAGGCTCTCTTTTATCAGAGTTGCCTTGGTCATGGTCTTCACAGCAGTAGAACAGTGACTAAGGCAGAAGTATGGTTTGAATTTCATGCTAGGAAGGATGAGCTGGCACCGGAGATAGTTACAATAAAAAGTGGATAAAGGGTACCTGTTAAGTGTTTAGGGTGGAGTCTTGGGCATACTGACCCAGACAAGCCCTTCACCTGTGAGCTACTTCCTTGCCCACATTGTTTTGTTTTTGCAGTGTTAGGAATCAAAACCAGAATTCGGTGCATAGTAGGCAAGCAAGCACTTCACCACTAAGTTGTATTCAAAACTATCTTTTTCTGATCCAAATAACGTCATTCATAGAGTAGAGGAGAAGTCAAAGAACTATGTTCATCCATGTTAGCTGAGCAACCAGAGGAAAAATAGGCAAAGGGTTTAAAGGAGGTAAAAGGCAGTTTTCCCAATTATATCTGTCAAAGCTGCAACATCTTCATGTAAAATACAAATGTTGGAGGCTTTTTTTAAAAAATTGCTTACTTCAGAGTTAACCCAAGTCCTTTGGAAGAGGAGTTAGTGCTTTTAACTGAGCCATCTCTTCAGACCTGGAAGCTTTTTTTTTTTTTTTTTTTTTTTGTAGTAGGAGCTGCGGGTTGCATTCTGCCACCCAGCTCCCGCCACCGGCTAGCTTTACCCGAAATAACAACACACAAACTGTATTCTTTTAAACACTGCCTGGCCCATTAGTTTCAGCCCCTTAACCCATTTCTAATAATCTGTGTAGCACCACGAGGTGCGCTTACCAGGAAAGATTCAGCATGTCTGACCTGGTGGCTGGCTGCATCGCCGGCTGCCTCAGAGAGCAGAGCTATTGCATCTGCCCGGGAGAGGGGAGCATGGCGTCTCTGCTCCAGAGAGCAGAGCTGTCAAGTCTGAGCTCACTTCCTCTTCCTCCCAGCGTTCTGTTCTGTTTACTCCACCCACCTATGTTTTAACCTATGAGGCCAAGCAGTTTCTTTATTATAATTAACCAATGACCTTCCTCTATCATTTTTTTTTTTACAAAGTATGTGTTATACAAATACATATTATATATTTGAGTGTGGACAGGTGCTTGTGAGTACAGTAGGTGCCTGTGGGAGCCAGAGGTTGTTGGGTCCCCGTGGAACTGAAGTTGCAGGTGATTGTGAGGTGCTTGACATGGGTACAAGGATTGAACTTGGGTCCTCTGCAAGTACTCTTAACCGCTGAGCCATCTCTCCAGATGAGAGCTTTTGGTCAGTGACCACTGCTTCAGTCAGTTTCTGTCCCTTTTTGTCCCTCTACTCCAAGGCATTTTGATACAATCCCTCCCCCCTTCGATTAGGTTAGACCTTAGTCTACATGGATCGGGAAAATATTATAAATTTCCCACTGGCTCCTGTGGCCCCCAGGATGTGTCATAACACGTATTGGCCAGGGGTTAGGGAGCCAGGTGTGGTAGCACATGTCTGTGCTCCCAGGCAGGGGCAGGAGGACTGGAGTTTCAGGCCAGCTTGGGCTATGTAGAGAGAGACCCTATCTTAGAAAAGAAAATACAAATACACAAAAACCACCCATAGTTTTTACACTATCAAAGCCCCTTTTGGGAAGTTGTTCGTCTTTGGAGATATAGCTCAGTGGCAGAGTAGGTACTCTGGCATTTGTATGACACTGGGTGCTGTAACTAGTACTGAAAAACAAAACTCTAAAGCCAAGTGTGGTGGTATACTTGTAATCCCAGCATTTGGGAGGTGGCAGCAGGAGGATCAGGAGGGCAAGATCATCTGCGTAAAGAGCTCTCAGCCAGCCTGGCTACCTGAGACCCTCTCTTTTAAAAAGTTTGCTGATCAGATTCCAACCTGAGGTTCTAACCTGGGTGCTGAGATCCACAGCAGACCCCATTTCCACTCCTGTCCCAAGTGGTGCTACATGTTATCAACATCAGAATACTTAAAGTTACATTAAGTTATAGTTAAAGATTTTAGTGTTCTTTTTTGCAGAAAGGGTATTCATGTCTGAGTGCTCACTCATGGGTGGTGGTGTGCGCATACAGCATGTGGAGATCTTTAGACTACTTCTCCATGTTGGTCTTACCTTTCTGGCCTGCAGACTTCTGGAGACTGTCCTACCTCTACATCCTGTCTCCCTGTAGCAGCACCCTGTGTACCAAAGTATCGTTTTTTTTATTAAGACCCACTCTGTAAAGTGAGGCCCTCCCAAAAGTGTCAGCCAGCTCAGGCAACCAAGGGGTAAAGGCAAAAGTTATTCTGTTGCTTCCCGATTGTCCTGTCTTACCAGAACTCCCATTAATTTCTGTCAGGGTTAAGATGAAGAATAAGGAAATTGCCTGTAGGATTCAGGAAAGGGATTTTAACCTAATTATTACTCCTCATCTTGCCCTCCCCCACATACACTAAGTTAAATTAGTGTTTTACAGCGAATTGTCATTTGGAGTCTGTGTTCACTTATTAAAGTTTCTTTGGAAGCCGGGTGGTGGTGGCGCACGCCTTTAATCCCAGCACTCTGGAGGCAGAGGCAGGCAGATCTCTGTGAGTTCAAGACCAGCCTGGTCTACAAGAGCTAGTTCCAGGACAGGCTCCAAAAAACCACAGAGAAACCCTGTCTCGAAAAACAAACAAACAAAACAACAACAACAATAACAACAACAAGTTTCTTTGGGTGACAGTGTTTTAAATACAGTTCTTAACACTAAGAAGTGTTTTCAACTAGAGCCACGTGATAAATATTTGGAGGATATTCTTTTTTCTTTTTGTTTTTTGTTTGTTTGTTTGTTTTTGAGATAGGGTTTCTCTGTTTAACAGCCCTAACTGTCCTGGAACTAGCTCTGGTAGACCAGGCTGGTCTCAAACTCAAAGTGATCCTCCTGCTTTTGCCTTCCGAGTGCTGGGATTAAAGGTGGATGCCAGTGTTAGGTAGCTCAAGCTGGCCTTGAGCTTGACCTAAGGGATTTACAGGTAATGCCTGGTTCTGGAATCTCTGAAGATTCTTAGAGTAGTTCTTTTTGGGGGTTTTCAAGACAGGGTTTCTCTGTGTAGCTCTGACTGTCCTGAAATTAGCTCTGGTGTAGACCAGGCTGGCCTTGAATTCACAGAGATTCCCCCCTGCCTCCCAATGCTGGGATTTTAAAGGTGTGCACCACCACCGCCTGGCTTCTTGGCATGGTTCTGTTCTTTGTGCAGATAGCTACCTCTTTTTTATTAATAAATTATATGGATGATTCTATGAGGCTAGTTTGTGAAGAACTGAGTACAGGAGTGGAGACAGGAAATGAAACCAGTGTTAGGTAAGAGGAGAAACAGATTGGTAGGCATGACAAAGAGTTTTTTAATTTTCTGTGAAATGGGAAGCCACAGGAAATGACCTAGGCAAAGAAATAACATAACTTAAGTTTTATTTTTGTTTATTTGAGATATGTCTGAGTGCTGGCCTGGAAGTCACCTGCCTCTGCTTACAAGCGCTGGGATTAAAGGTGTGTTGCACCGTGCCTGGCATAATTTAAATTTTAAATTGTCCCGTTCTGAGACACTTCAGCTGTGGCTTTGAGAGAAAACCACAAGAAAGTGAGAGTGGAAGTGGGGACTTACACCCCGAGGCTACGCTGTGGTTGATGTAAGTGCCTCACCGGTGAGATGTTGGGTATGTTTCAGTAGGACTGACAGCATCTGCCAGCTGGGCTGTGAAGGGGGAGTCAGGGATGACACTTAAAGTTTGCTTGTTTGGTCAGGTATTTTGTTGTTGTTGTTGTTGCTTTTTTTTTTTTTCAAGGCAGGGTTCCTCTGTAGCTTTGGCACCTGCCCTAGAACTCGCTCTGTAGACCAGGCTGGCCTCAAACTCACAGTGATCCACCTGTCTCTGCCTCCCAAGTGCTGGGATTAAAGGCTTGTGCCACCACCCTCTGTTTTTCTGTTTGGTTGGTTTGCGGGTGTTGGGTTTTTGTGTTTTTTTTTTTTTTCCAGTTTTTTGATACAGGTTTTCTCTGTGTATCCTTGGCTATCCCAGAACTCACTCTGTAGATCAGGCTGGCCTTGAATTCACAGAGATCCGCCTGCTTCTGCCTCTTGAGTGCTGGAATTAAAGGTGTGTGCCACCACCTTCAGCTGTTTGTTTTTCAAACTTTAGTAGATGGAAAGCTAGAATTTATATTTATTGAGATTGAAAGATTGAGAGAGTGGCAGAGTGAAAAGTGAATTGAAGATGCTATCTAGAAAGGTTACTGAATGTTTCTTCCTTGTTACAGGTTGACATTGAGTGTTTCAGATCTGGTCACTATGGTCCGAGAACGAAAATGCATCTTGTGCCACATTGTGTATGGCTCAAAAAAGGTAACAATGAAGAAAGAGCACCTGATGCTTTGTGGAAACTGTTTTGAAGACATCTTAAAAATAGTTAAAACTTGATATTTAGAATTTTAAGTTGTTACAATTGTATTGTTTGTTTTGCTGTACGATCTTAGAACTGCTATGTCCTCTGACCTCAAATGGTAGTGATCCACCTGCCTCTATCTCCCAAAGTTTGGGAGTGCCGTCACACTGCATATGCAGTACTGGAGAACACATCCGTGGTCTTTGCGTGTTAGGCTCGTTCTACCAGCGCGTCTGTAATCCATTCCAGGAGGATTTTTTATGTGTTAACCTCTACTCAGAATTTAGGGTTCTCAAGGGTATAAAGAACTTTAGCAATCAGCTAAAGAGGAAATATCTTACAATTCAAGGTACTTGAGATTTTATTACGTTGTGAAATTTTTCTTTGTTGTCTACCCCAGGGACTTTAAGTGTCCTAGGCAAACACTCTGCTTTGTGAGCTATATCCTCAGTCCATGAATCATATATCTTTTGGTTCACAGATGTTTAACAAATAGTGCATTTATTATATGCATTTTATTTTTTTGTATATCTAGGCTCAAGAAAAGTATAGTCCAGCCAGGTGTATTAATGCACACCTTGGGAGAAGAAGCAGGAGGCCAGTCTGGTCTACATAACTATACTATGTAGACCAGGTATAGTATAGCAAAGGTGGTGTTAACAGTATCCAGAATGTCCACAAGGTGAAGCAAACAGCCAAAAGGGGAAAAAACAAACACCCAAACATGTGAGGAGGAGGGCTGTATGCATGTGTACAAGTGTAGACCAGGCTGAGCTTTTTTCTGTGGGTGCCAGGGATTCAAATCTCATACTTGTGCAATAAGTGTTCTTATCTGAGACATCTCCCTACTCCCCCCAAAACAAGCTTTCTTTGTTATGTTTTGTTATAATACTTATTTAACTTTATATGTGCATTTTTTATGAAGGTGTCAGATCTGGACCTAGAGTTACAGACAGTTGTGAGCTGCCATGTGGGTGCTGGGAATTGAACTCTGATCCTCTGGGAGAGTAGCTGGTGCTCTTAATCACTGAGCCATCTTTCAAGCCCTGTTTTTTTTAAACAATATTTTTAGATTTATTTATTTTCTATGCATGAGTTTTTTTACCTGCATGTATGTATATGCACCATGTGCATGCCTAGTACCCGAAGAGGTCAGGAGAGGATGTTGAGACCTCTGCACTGGAGTTATAGGCAGTTGTGAGCTACCGTATGGGTGCTGGGAACTGAACCTGGGTCTTCTGGAAGAGTTGCTAGAGATCTGCTAAGCCATCTCACAAGCCCCACAACAAACTTTTTTTTTTTTCAAACTTTTTTTAAACTAAAAGAATTTGCTTATGCTTCAGGGAAATTGGTTACAATTTCTCACTTTTTTTGTCTTTTCTTTCTGTTGTTGGGAGGCCACTAGTTAGTTCCTGGCCGCTTAGCCTCAAAATAATTACATAGAAACTGTATTAACTAAATCACCACTTGGCCCATTAGCTCTAGTTTCTTACTGGCTAACTCTTACTTATTAATTTAACCCATTTCTATTAATCTGTATCATCATGTAACTGTGGCTTACTGGCCAAAGTTACGGCATCTGTCTCCAATGTGGCTACATGACTTCTCTTCAACTCTATCCTTCTTTTTCCCAACATTCAGCTTAGTCTTCCCCATCCAGCTCAGTTCTATCCTATCACAGGCTCAAGATAGTTTCTTTATTCATTAACCAATGGTATTCACAGCATACGTACAGAGAGAAATTCCACATTGTCTTTCCTTTATTCTTTGCTTTGAAAGTAATAGTGTTTGCTTCAGGTTTTTTGTTCATTTGTTTGTTTTAGGTTTTCTTCATTCTTAAAATGTATTGTTGTTGTTGTTTGGTTTTTCGGGACAGGGTTTCTCTGTGTAGCTTTGGAGCCTGTCCTGGCACTTGTTCTATAAACCAAGCTGGCCTCGAACTCACAGAGACCTGCTTGCCTCTGCCACCCAAGTGCTGGGATTAAAGGCATGTACCACCACTGCCTGACTTCTTTTTCTTTCTTTTTTTTTCTTGAGCATTTCACTATGTAATTGACTGACTTGGAACTTGCTGTGTAGACCAGGCTAGTCTCAAACTTTCAGGGATCCTGCCTGCTTCCTGAGTACTGAGATTATAAGGTGTCATCTTGACTCGTTATTGATGAGTTTAAAATTCTATATGCTGTCTTTAACTTGATTCAGTTTTCAGATGTGTTTTGTTCTAATTGATGATCACTTACAGCTAGAAAGGGTCACTTGTACAGCTCTGTCAAAACGAAGCTTTGTAGAGATAGAAAGGAAACAATCCAGTAAAATCACCATTTAAAGGAAGTGTTTTGGAACAGCTGTCCCCTATATCACACTATAGAAGATAAAGAACAGTGTACTGTGGCATGGTTACACGGTTTCTGACAAACTGTATGTGATGAAGAAATGCATTATGTACTCATAACACGATGTTTGTGTCAGATCTTCTTGGGTTTGCATTTCACCACTTGGTTTTCACATTTACTCCTTCGGTGCTTAGCTCTGTGTGTAGGGCATAGTAAGCACTTGGGGAATACCTGGTGAATAAAGGGTTAGCTTCTCTGCATCCTTGAGTCCTTATGGAGTTAATACTCAGTGGTATTTTGTGGTTTAAGTGGGAAAGTGCTTGAGTCAACACAGAATATGGCTTGCATAATCAGTTGAGTTGTAGCTATTTATTAACTATATAAGCAGACGTTCTCTAATTATACATGAAATGTTTGCAGTCCTCTAAGTTGCATGTATGTGCCTTTTCTTCGGGTCTTGCTGTGTAGCTGATTTTGAACTTGCTATCCTGTCTCCTGAGTGCTGAGATTATAATTGTATGCCACCATGCCCAGCTGTGTGCATGTGTTTTAGTGAGAGTTTCCGCACAGATTATTTTCTTCTACTAAAGGTAAAATGAGAGTTAGAACATTGCAAAGCTTTAATCTTTCCTTTAAACCCAAATGAACTAAGTAGGGAAGTTGTAAAGTGGGTAGTCAGAGTAGAAGAGTGGGTGAATTTGCTGTGTTTCAGACACAGATCCGCCTGCCTTGACCGCTTGAGTACTAACTAGGACCAAGTGTGCACCATTGTGCCCAGCTGGATTCAAAGTGCGAAGGGCTTTTTGTTGTTTATTAAAGACTAATTATTTTATTTTCTGTCTATGGGTGTTTTTCCTGAATATACGTTGTGTGGTGAATGTGTGCCTGTTGCCTACTGAGGCCAGAAGGTGGAACCAGATCCTCTGGAACTGAAGCTGTAGAGAGTTGTAAGCTCCCTTGTAGGTTCTGGAATCGGAGTTCTCTGTAAGAGCAACAAGTGCTGTTAACTGTTGAGCCATGTCCATAGCCTCTCAAAGTGTGTGGTTTTCAGGGGGAGATCCTCTACTTGTTTACTTTTTAAATTTTTTGATATTTTTGTTTATTTTCTATATTAGTGTTTTCCCTGAATGTGTATCTGTGCCCCGTGTGCTTGCAATCCCTGAGGATGCCAGAAGATGGCACCAAATCCTTTGGGACTGGAGTTGCAGATGGTTGTGAGCTGCCCTGCGGTGTTGGCTAAAACCACTGAGCCAACTCTTCAGCTCCAACAAAGAGGCTCTATTTTTTTTTAATACCTATCTATAATCAACAAATGTGGGTTGTTTTTTGGTTTTGGTTTTTCATTTCTCTGTGTAACGGCTCTAGCTGTCCTGGGACTCTTCTTTGGAGATTAGTTAGCCTCGAACATGGAGATCAACCTGCCTCTGCCTCCCAAGTGCTGGGATTAAAGGCGTGCGCCACCATCACCTGGCTTCACCTTAACTCCAGATCTAGGGGGTGGATCCTCTAGCCTAGTCAGGAACCTGCATTCACTGCTTGAACACTCGTAGACAGCCACACACTTTAAAAAATGAAAACAATCAAGAAAGATGTCAGACATTGACCTTTGACCTCTATAATCACACACAGATGTGCATGTGTCTGTATGCACACCAGCATGAACATGTACATATACTACATATATATAAAGTTGCCAAAGTAGTTTTAAAAGCTAAGTGATTAGAAAGACTTTAAAAATCATTTTATATGTATGTGGGTCCATGTGTGTGTCTGCATGTGCATGTTTGTGCACTCGTATGCCATCGTGTGCATGTGAAGATAGGTTCTCTCCTTTCACCGTGTGGCCTCTCAGGCTCAGGTCAAACTCAGGTCATCAGGCTCAGTGGCCAGTGTCCTAACCTGCGGAACCATTATCTTGCTTGGTCCTTGGGTTTTTCTCTGTGGTCCTGGGTGAACTAGAACTCCCTCTAGTTAGATAGATTGACCTCAGACTTGCTTCCCAAGTGCTGGGATTGGTGGTGTGGTGGGTCGGTTTGGGGCTTTCCCCGAGTGCTGAGATTCCAGCGTGAGCACCACACCTGACTGCTTCCCTCCCCCAAACTCTGTATGTTCTTCGTAATGAAATAGAGTTTAACCTGCATAATCTGTCTTTTCCCTTCTAAGGCCAGTGCTTCTAATTTCAGAAAGCCACTAAAAATACCTAAAAATGACTTTTTAAAATGATAGCCAGCTAGCACTGGAGATGGAGGTAAAAGAATCAAGAATTCAAGGTCATTCTCAACTAGTAATGAATTCAGGGCCTGTCTGGGCTGAAACCCTATCCCACAAAATAAAAATAAGCATGAAATATAGCCAGATAATTATTTATTGTGGAATCACTATTGATTTTAAACTGAGAAGGGTGATCACAAAATTTTTTGGCCCAAAGAGTTTGAATCCAGATTGTTAATTGAATATCTACAGAGGAAGTCCACCCCCCAACCCTGGCATTCCCCTTGGTTAATCTGCTTTTTTGTTGTGTTTTGTTTGGAAGGAGATGGACGAACACATGCGGAGCATGTTGCATCACAGGGAGCTTGAGAACCTGAAGGGCAGGTAATAAGAACAGCTTTCTTCCATAAGTTTGCTAATGTGGGGTCTAAGCTCTGATGGTGCCTACCTGCTTATTTTGCAATAACCCATCATGATGACTGTTGTCTGATGGCACTGAGTCATTTAGAATTAATGACAATAGATCTTTGGCATTTAAAAGATAAACCCTGGTTCCTTTGTGCATCTTCTACATGGGTAGAATTCATAGCAAATCAGGCAAGTAGATTTAACAAGGTTGAGCTGGCATGAACTGCCTTTCTTACTCACAAACTAATTCCTGCATAGTGTCCTTGCAGCTAGTACTTTCTATATTTTTGCTTTAGCCAAATTAATTGTATGCTATGAACCCCTAGTCTTGCTGAAATAGCTTAGGAAATTCACAACCTGCTAAGCTATGCTGAAGGTTATTACTATCTGCAAAATCAAATAAAAGACATGAAATGTTCTGTTAATGATTTAAAGCTTAAGAGTTTTTTTTTTAATGTATGTATGTGTATACCGTATCCTTTTTTCTGTGTTGTCTTCTTGACTAATGTGGATTTGAACTATAGAGATTTGATAAAGATAACATTGTAAATTCAGAAATAGGAATTATACTTTACTCCATGAATAATAAAGTTTCTGTGACAATGCTATCTCACTATTTGATGTTAGTGTTAACTTTATTGTAAATCCTTTTTTTGTTGTTTGTTTTGTTTTTGTTTTCTGAGACAGGGTTTCTCTGTATACCCCCAGCTGTCCTGGGAACTTGCACTTATAGACCAGGTTAGTCTCAAACTCACAGAGATCCACCTGCCTCTGCCTCCCTACTGCTGGCATTAAAGGCATGTGCTACCACCACCTTTTAAACTGAGAAGTTTTATTGTAAATCTTACAGGTTTATCTTGTATCTATAAATTAATGTGCTATTACTAGACTTTAGCATATAAATGCTAATGATTTTATCTATCCTGGGTCTCTAATGTGTAGTGGTTATGCTTAGTGGCAACAAAAAAAAAAGGGCTTCAGTTAGAAAGACAAATATGATGTGTGTTTGCTTATACGTGGATCTTAGCTGTTAGGTGTTTGATAAGCAGACTAAAGTCTGTAGAATCACAGAGGTCAGACATAGAATAAAGGACTGGGTGGTACAGCTGAATCTCCTTAAGAAGAGGAAGTAGAATAGATGGCTGTGCGTAGGCAGGAGGAGGACAGTAGTAATAGGAGGATCAAATGGGGGGGAGGGAGGCAAAACAGGAGTGAGAGAGAAAACAGGGACAGCTAGAACTAAGGACCACTTGAGGTGTCATATAGAAACTTCCTAAAATATATACTTAGATGAAGACAATCTAAAGTATGTGGTTAGTTAGGAGAAAGTTCTATGAGGTGCTGAGAAGATGATAGATTCTTTTGTGTTTGTGTGAAATGTTCTGTATATGTCTGTTAGGTCATTTGGTTTATGATGTCATTTAGCTACGTTTCTCCGTTTTACACCAAAACTGCCCCCTTTCATAGGTCCATAATTTGATTGCTGTTGTCCACCAAAATTTCCTCCTTCATTATAACCATCATATCCTCCTCTCACCACCACCTTGGTTTCCATAGCCTGGTCCACCACCACCATAGCCTCCTCTACTGCTGTGACCAGGACCACCACCATAGTTGCCACCATCACCTCCAAATCCATTATATCCACCATCACCACCTCCATAACTACCTCTGCTGCCACCACCTCCACCAACATAGCCTCCTCTTCCACCAAACTTTCCACCATGACCAAAATTACCTCCACCAATCTCCAAAGTTCTGCTCTCAAAATGGAGGGCATGATCCAAAGGAACCAGAGCAGTTGAGGAAACTGTTTATTGGTGGTCTGAGCTTTGAAACCACATATGATAGCTTAAGAAAACGTTTTGAGAAATGGGGCACACTTAAAGACTGTGGTAATGAGAGATCCCCAAACAAAATGTTCGAGGGGCTTGGTTTTGTGACCTACTCTTGTGTTGAGGAGGTGGATGCTGCAGGAACCAAAGAGAGCTGTTTCTAGAGAGGATTCTGTAAAGCCTGGTGCCCATTTAACAGTGAAGAAAAACTTTGTTGGTGGTATTAAAGAGGACACAGAAGAGTATAACCTGAGAGGCTACTTTGTATGGCAAGATTGAAACCATAGAAGTTATGGAAGCCAGGCAGAGTGGGAAAAAGAGAGGATTTGCTTTTGTAACTTGTGATGATCATGACACGGTTGATAAAACTGTTGTTCAGAAAACCACACTGCTAATAGGCATGATTGTGAAGTGAAAAGGGCCCTTTCTAAACAAGAGATGCAGTCTGCTGGCACACAGAGAGGTGGTGGAGGTGTATCTTTATGACCTTAGGTACGCTTGTGTTTGGTGCACAGGTGTTTAGAATTGCAGTGTCCTCTTCGTGGATTTTCCTTTGAGTATGTAGTGTCCTTCCCCATTTCTTCTGATTAGTCTTGGTTTGAAGTCTATTTTGTCAAACAGTAGAATGGCTACACCAATTTGCTTTTTGAGTCCATTTGCTTGGAATATCATTTTCCTTTTACCCTGGGATGATAATCTATCTTTGATGTTAAAGTGTGTTTCTTGAATGCAGCAGCAGGATCTTATTTTTTAACCCAGTCTGTTAGTCTGTATCTTTTTATTGGTGAGTTGAAAACATTGATGTTGATCCCGTTATTTTCTGTTGTGGTGGGATTGTCATCCCCTCCCCTTTATCTGCTGGTCTGATAGTATATCTCGTGTTTTCTTGGTGTGGTTAACCTCTTTAGGTTGAAGTATTCTGTCTAGTTCCTTCTGTAGAGCTGGATTTGGAAATAGATACTGCTTAAATTTGGTTTTATAGTTGAATGCCTTTCTTCATCTATTGTGACTGAAAGTTTTGCTGGGTATGGTACTCTAAATGGGTGGTGTGTAGAACATGTGTCCAGGCCCTTCTGACTTTTAGAATCTCAAAAGTCAGAATTTAGAAATCAGATGTTATTAATAGGTCTGCCTTAATAATATGATTTTTTCTTTTTCCCTTGCAGCTTTTAATATTCTTTCTTCATTCTATACATTCTATATTTTGATTATTAAGTATTGTGGGAATTTTTTTTTTTTTGATCTAGTCTATTTGGTGTTCTATATGCTTCTTGTATCTTGACAGACACCATCTCATTTGGGTTAGGGAAATTTTCCTCTATTAGTTTGTGAAATTTTTTTTGTTTGTTTTTGTTTTTTGAGACAGGGTTTCTATGTAGCTTTGGAGCCTGTCCTGGAACTAGCTCTTGTAGACCAGGCTGTCCTCAAACTCACAGAGATCCGCCTGCCTCTGCCTCCCGAGTGCTGCGATTAAAGGCATGCACCACCACCGCCCGGCTTGGAAATTTTTTTTTCTGAGTTTTTGACCTGGGTTTCTTTCTGCCAACTTATTTGGGAGGGAGTTTGTTTGTTTCTTTTGTTTTTGTTTTCAAGACAGTTTCTCTGTGTAACAGCTGTTCTGCAACTAGCTCTGTAGACCAGGCTGGCCTCAAACTCAGAGATCACCTGCTTCTTCCTCCCGAGTGCTGGGATTAGAGTACCCACCACCACCCGGCTCTTTCCTGTATTCTTATTATTTGTAGATTTAGTTTTTTCATACTATTCCAGATTTCCTGGAGGCTTTGTGCCTGGATTTCTTTTTTTAGATTTAATTTTTTTTTTTTTTCGAGACAGGGTTTCTCTGTGGTTTTGGAGCCTTCCTGGACTAGCTCTTGTAGACCAGGCTGGTCTCGAACTCACAGAGATCCACCTGCCTCTGCCTCCCAAGTGCTGGGATTAAAGGCGTGCACCACCACCGCCTGGCAGATTTAATTTTTTTTTTGTTTGTTTGTTTGTTTTTGTTTTTCGAGGTAGGGTTTCTCTGTAGTTTTGGAGCCTGTCCTGGAACTAGCTCTTGTAGACCGGGCTGGCCTCGAACTCACAGAGATCCGCCTGCCTCTGCCTCCTGAGTGCTGGGATTAAAGGCGTGCGCCACCACCGCCCGGCTTAATTTTTTTTTTTTTTTAACCAAGGCATCCATTTCTTCTTTTCCTCAATGCCCGAGATTCTCTAGTCCATCTCTTATAATCTGTTGGTGAAGCTTGCCTCAGAAGTTTGTTTTTAAGTTCCTACTGTAATGGTCTGTCTGGTCCCTTTGAAAGACAAGCCCTGCCAACTTCCCTGTCTGCTGAGGCAAGCAGATCTTCCTTCCACTTCCAGCCTTTCCTTTTGGTCTCTCTCCTGAAGAGGCAGCTTCTGACTCTCTCCCTTCTCCCCACTTCTCCCCTTTCCCCCTCCTCTCTCTTTATCTCTCTGTTTCTCTCTCTGCCTCTCTCTCTGCTCTTTTCCCTTCTCCCCTTTCCCTCTTTCCCTTTCCCCTCCATAACCCACTAAGTAAATACCCATGTTCTCTGTCTCTTACCTGCCACTCAGCTCCCTGCCTAGCCCGACTGCCTTTGTGGCCCTCTGTGGTCTCGTTCCCGCTGCCTACTGCCGCCACTTGGGACCTGTGGCATTTTATTTTTACCATAACACCTAGACTTTCATTTCTTGTTTTCCCTCAGCTTGGGTTTTCTTTAGGACTCCCTTTCTTCTCTTGAGCTGTTTTCTCCATTTCATTCCACTGTTTGTGTTTTCATTAATGGATTTGTTCATTTCTCTTTAAGGATCTTGAAAATATTCATAATGGTATTTTGAAGTCTTTGTCTTGTGCTTAAGCTGTATTGCATTACTCAGGGCCTAGTGTGCTAGGGTTTCTGGGCTCTAGTAGAGGGAGACATTGTCGTGGCTGTTGCTGTGTTTTTATCCTGGTATCTAGGCATCTGGGTTTGGTATGACTGTAACTCTAGGTGCTGATATCTGCACTCGACTTTGTTGAGCATGTAGAATTCTTTCCTTGGTTTCTGTTGCCTTGTCTGGTTCTTAGGAGAGTGCAGTGGCTGTGGGTTGCCTGGTAGGAAATGCTTTAGTCTACCAGGTGTGATGGCTGGGGTTCCAGGGTAGAACATGTTTCTGGGTATTTATTGGAAGTTGACACTAAGGAATGTGGATGGGCTAGTGGCAGGGAGTTGCTCCACAGGAGGAAAGCTGGGTATACCACCAGGGTCTGTATATAGATGCCTGGGAATGGAGGAGAGAGGAAGGAGAGGCCACAGAAGAGGAGAGAGGAGCTATCTGCTGCAGAGCTAGGAATAAGATGAGGGGGCAGTTAGAATTGGAGGACAGAAGGGACTCCAGGGAGTGCCCCAGCCAGTGCTCCTAACCATTGAGCCATCACTCCAGCCCCAGAAAATTGCTATTTTTAAAGGTTTATTTTTATTATTTTCAAGTATGTGTGTACATCTGCCTGTGAGTATGTACACATGAATGCACGTGTCTGTGGTGGCCAGAAGTGTTGAATCTCCCTGAAGTTGGAGTGCCTGGCATGGATATTGGTCCTCTGAAAGTTTAGTAAACACTCTTAACTGCTGAGCTAGCTCTTCAGCTTCCCCTAAAACTTATTTTAAAAACAAATTTTATATAAGATTCAGATGATAATATAGGATCACAGAAAATAAGTCTAGTGGGCCATGTGTAGTGGCACGCACCTTTAGTCCCAGCACCCAGGAGGTAGATACATAAGGATCTCTGAGTTCGAGGCCTTCCTGATCTACATAGGAAGCTCCAGGACAGCCAAAACTACATAGATAAACCTTGTCTTAAAGAGGAAAGGAAGGAAGGAAGGAAGGAAGGAAGGAAAAGATTTACCTCATTCCTCTTTAATAATCCCATTCCATCTTGCTTCCAAACTTTATATGCATTCACAGTTTTAGATCTATACACAGGCTTCATTCTGTCTTGAGTGACTAGACCTCATGTGGATTATGTGTTGCTTTGTAATTTCTTTTTCTCTTGTAAATGCCATCTTGAGCAACCTAACTCATTTTATTGAGAGGGGAGCACATTCGTACAGGTTTCCTCATATGTTAGGTGCAGCCATGACAAGTGGCTAGCCTATAACAAGTAAAAAAAGCATGCAAAATCCACAAAAAGGTCTCAAAAACTATTAAGCATTATTTTAAGGACAGTCATAACTAGTTTGTGCCGTAGAGACAAATACTCATCCACCCTTATTCCTTTTCCCTCTTAGCCTCAATTTATGAGTTTCTTCTGAATTTCATGTTCAGTTACTGTGCTTACAACTGAACTTTACTCTTCAGTGATGATCTTGTAAAGAATTATTATAAGATACTTTATTAAGTTTTTATATTCAGTTTTGAAGGCAGGCTTGACCATCTTGGTAAGTTTTCCTTGGTTTCTAATTAGGGACAAGGGGGAGGTGTGATATAAGTAGTTTCTCCAGATAGAAGCTACCGAAGACTCAAGTCTTTATTTATCAAGCAGCTGTTGTGGTTTAGTTAGAGCAAGCTTAATAAAGAAAGTCTTATACATAGAGTATCTTAAGACTGCCTTTTGTACATGAGGGGAAATTGTGTGGTGACAGGATGGAGCTAATTTGGGCCCTTCAAACACCCCGAGGAAGAACAGTGCCTTTGTTAGCTATGGCACAAAAGCACTGACTACATTCTCTCTGTAATTACATGTTTGTGCAAAGGTTTTTGTTTTATTTTGTTTGTTTTTGTTTTTCAAGACAGGGTTTCTCTATAGCTTTGAAGCCTGGTCTAGAACTCACTCTATAGACCAGGCTAGCCTTGAACTCAGAGATCTGCCTGTCTCTACTGGGATTAAGGATGTGCACTACCACCACCTAGTATTATGCAAAGTTTTTAAGCTAGCTATTAATGAGGAATTCAAAAGAGGGATATTGATGGCTTGAATATAAGAAAAACTTCTCGACTGTAGAAATGGCTCAGTGGTTAAAAGTACTTGACTGCTCTTCCAGAGGTCCAGAGTTTAATTCCCGGCAACCACATGGTGGCTCACAACCATCCGTATTGGGATCAGAGTTGTTCTTCTGGTGTATACACTAAGTACATGAATAAATAGATCTTAAAAGAAAGAAAATTTTTTTTTGCATTTTATAAATTTGTATCAGCAATTTTGAAAAAAAATTAAGGAGCTGGAAAGATGCACACACACAGATACATGCAGGCAAAACACCAATGCATTAAATAAATTAATTTTTTTAAAAAGAAAAAATTAAAAGAGATGGTACAAAAGTCTCCAACAGAATGAGGCCACTGGTATGGCAGCATTCAGTTTAGCATTTATACATCGAGTAGAATCAGAGATGACATTGAAGGCAAGATGGTTTTGTAACTAAAAACAAAGTTGGTTTGGATTTCGGTTACATTGTATGTATGGCATTTGTCTTATATCAGCCAAATTCTTCTGGTGCTACCCATTGTGAACAGATTTCTGTTTATATTTTAAACTTTCTGTGTTGTCGTGAGATGCTTGCTATTACAAGTTAATACTGCCTAGAATGAGCATCAATCTTAGTTGTCTCAAAGAACTTCATTCTTGATGAGATGAGAAAGTAGGCAATGATTCTTGTTTGTTTGTTTGTTTGTTTGTTTGACAGGGTCTCGCTACGTATCCCTGCCAGGCAGGTCCTAAACTCAGAGATTCACTTGCCTCTGCTTCCAAAGTACTAGGATTTAAAGATGTGTGCCACCACACCTGGTATTGCTTAATCTTTAAATATACAGATGCAGTTATTAAATTGTTAGCATTTGTACTAAAAAGTACAAAAAAATGTAAATTTTCTACTTTTTTTAGATTTTCAGAGATTCTTCCAATATAAGGAACAGTATTGGGGCTAGAGAGATGGCTCAGTGGCTAAGAACATTTGGCTGTTCCTGCAGAAGACCTAAGTTCAATTTCCAGCAACCACATGATGGCTCACACTGTCTATGACTCCTGTCCAGGAGACTCAACACCCTCACATAGACATACATGCGGGTGAAACACCAATGCACATAAATAAATACTAAAAGGGGGGACAGTATTGGAGGATGGAAATTTCTTTTTCCTCTTTTTTTCTACTTCCCTCCTTCGTTCCATCCTTCTGTTCTTTCTTCCCTTTTGGAGACAGGGTCTTTCTATGTAGCCCTGGCTGGTGTGCAACTGCTTGAAGACTAGGCTGTCTTTGAACTCACAGAGGTCTGCTTCTCAGAGCCTCACTGACTCTGCTTCTGCTTCTTACTGCAGTGTGAGCCTGCACTAGCTGTGTGCACGTCCTGCCATTGGGATACATTTCCAATCCAAAAGTATTGCTTTTCTCCCTGGAAGATTTATTTTTTTTGTGTGTGTATATGTATATTTATGTAAATATATGTAATATAGGAACAGGTACCCGCAGAGGCCAGAAAAGGGTGTCAGACCCCATGGAATTCATGGGTCCTTTGGGAAAGCAGAAAGTGTTCTCATCTTCCCAGCCCCCGTATTGCTTTTTAAAATATACCAGGCATTGTTTGAGGTTTTATAGTTTGTAACTCTGAGTAACTTATAACCTTGTGCTTGGTATTTAGTAATTGCTTGATAAGGTGTGTGTTTTGCTTTGCTTTGCTTTAAATGGACATTCAGGTGATCAGTAACAGGAACTGTCTCCTAGTAAATGAAGCGCTCAGTTTCATGATCTCTGTTAATTCGTATCAGTTCTGCTTATTTTGATAGATTATTTGTTTATAAAAAGGATGGGTAGGTGACTGTGTTTCATGGCATATGTCTCTGGTGATTTATGTAGAGAGATAGATGTAGACATACAGATTGGGGTCAGAAACACATATTTCATCGCTGCTATGAGCCCACGACGCAAGATCCTGGATTAAGTTTGGATTATTGGACAGCCACAGTTTGCATGATTCTTATTAGTGCTTGCGTAGACAGGGGACATAATCTAAGGATTGCAGGAAGCTTAAAAGCAGTTACATTATTGATTTGCTACAGGTCTAAGAGGATTTAAGATTTTGCTTGTTAAGACTGGCCAAATATGAGATTTGCCATTGTGTCAAGTAAAAGAAAAATAGAAGCAATCCAGTCACCCAATTTAGATAAAAGCCAGTTTTGCTTGTATCGGGACTGCAACATTTTCTGAAACTTGAGAGAAAACATTTGCCTGACACAGCTGTTAACTTCCTACGACTGACATGTTTTCCATTCCCTTTAAAGTAAGCCCTGCCGAAGCAGAATCTGTCACATGTGTCATCCAGACTAAAAGCATTTGCTGGGACTGCCGCTGTCATTTGCCAGGGTCCGGAATCTTCACATTCCAGGCAGAATGCCAGCTGTTCCAATTTAGTTACCCCGTTGACATTGGCTGTTCCCCTCCTCTTTGCTCCACCCTCAGCCTTCACTGGAAGAATGCCTGAGAGCTGGAGATTAAATGGAAGTGCTGTCACCAGACTTTCTGGGTGCAGCTGGCACCATGGCTGTGCCCCAGGGCAGCTTGTGTTTGCTCTGAGCCCCCTGCCCTGCCTCCCCTTTCACCATGTTTCCTCTGGCAAGATTTTAAGTACAGCAATTCAAGAAGATTTCTCCTAAATCTCATTGATCTGAAGTGTGTTGCCTCTTGATTGCTGGAAAAGAATCTAAAATTTATTTCAAAGTAATCTATAAACACGTTTACTAAAAGTGATGAAAGGTGCATTGACATTTACCAGCACTGATTGTTCGCTCTGCCCAATTGGGCAGTGTCTTTCAGAGGAAACTATCGATCTGGTGAGTGTACCATGCCAGTGGGGAGAATTGAATGTCCCTCATCTCCCTCTTTCCCTAGGGACATTAGTCATGAGTGCCGAGTGTGCGGGGTCACAGAAGTGGGTCTCTCTGCATATGCAAAGCACATTTCTGGCCAGTTGCACAAAGATAATGTTGATGCCCAGGAAAGAGAAGATGATGGAAAGGAAGAGGAAGAAGAAGATTATTTTGACAAGGAACTTGTTCAGTTAATAAAAGAAAGAAAAGAACAAAGTCGGTAAGTCATTTTGTTTGTTTGGGTTTTTTTTTTTTTTGAGATAGAATCTCATGTAGACAGTTTTTCTGTTCTGGGGGAAACCTCTAGGACTTTGTGTAGCTAAGAAAGCTCCCCACTGTTACATTCCCAGGCCCATGATTTGAAATTTGAAAGTAAGCCTTTAAGAGGCAAAACTTAATCTTTGAGTTTGCTGTCTGGAGACTGAAGGACTATGAACTGCTACATTATCTGTCCTTAAACTCAGTTTTGTCCTTAGACAGCTGCTGATTAATAGAGCTACAACCCTGAAAACTGTTGTCTTGAGTCGCTGTGTGTGGAGCTATCTTATTAGTATCCAGTTTTCTGCTAGAAAGCTATAGCGTATAAGATAAGCATCGTTGAATTGACATTTCATCTATTATTCATTTATATTATTTTTCATTAAATATTTTTATGGCCTAAATAATATCTCTTAGGGGAAGGATTACCTCTTATAAATTAGCACAGTGCTTCTGCCAGATTTGAATTTTACCTTTGAAATTTTAATGACTACACAGTGTCTGGTTCACTCTGGGTGTTTCTATAAATATTAATATCGTAAATTTGAGCACTATAAGTTCCCTAATTGTACTTCCCAAATTTATACCTTTGTTTATGTATTTGTGTATTAGGCATTTATAGTCTTACTTAACTGATTTTATGGCCTTAAATTTTGTTTGTTTTTAAATGAGCAAGGCAAGTCAGTCATGTAGCCATGGCTAGTCTCCAGCTTGTTCATAGCCAAAGATGATTCTGAACTTGGGTCTCTATCCACTTAGGTGCTGCAATTACAGGCATGTGCTACCACACCAGACTTTGCCCTAAGGAACTCACTTAATGAAGCAGAGAACAATTAAAATCTTAACAATTGAAGAGAAAATTTCAAACAAATTTTTAAAGATTTTTCTTGAATACTAAGCCTACTCACCTTTTTTATGTTAGAGATTTAAATATAGGTAGAAAATATGTAGCTTTATACTATGTATTAATATTTTTTAAACGTCCTTGAAGATTTTCTTAGTCTTAAAATGCCCACACCAACCTTGAATTCTTAGTTCTTCTGATGCCATTCTCATAGCTACAGTACAGCTGTAGTCTGTGCTTCTGTTTCAGGAAGGTTAGAGCATTAATTCTTTTGGGGGATGTGGGTTTGTTTTTTTGAAACAGTAGCCCTGGCTGTCCTGGAACTCAGTCTGGAGACCAGGCTAGCCTTGAACTCACAGGGATTCACCTGCCTCGGCCTCCCAAGTGCTGAGATTAAAGGTGTGCACCACCACTGCTCGGCTATAGGGCACTAATTTCTAACAGTTAACAACAAAACTACTATTAAAGCTTTGCTATTTAAATGATTAAACATCAGAGGCTAAGATTAGACACTGATATCACAGTTACTGTTCTTTGAGTCTTGTATGTCCCTGCGGTGACATAGTTCTGTAAGATCATGCACCACTTTTCTGTGTTGATTGATTGGAGCGGGGTCTCTTTATGTAGTCCAACTCACCTTCTTCACCCTGGCCTAAGTGCTAAGATTATAGGCTAGTATTGCCTCGCCAGCCTAGATGAATTTCTTAACTTTATCTTGTAAAAAAGGAACTGATTTGTATCCAGCATACTACAGGCATTAAAGGCCAGTCAAGATAGCCAGGCCCTGGCGGTGCTTTTATCACAGCGCTTGGGGCAGAGGCAGGCACATCTCTGAGTTCCAGGGCTACATAGAAAAACTCTTTCTCAAAAACAAAAGAGCTGTGAAGATGGTTCTATGGGCAGAGGAATTTATAGTCGAGCCTGACAACCTACATTCAATCCCCAAAACCCCCATGAAGGAAGGAAAGAACTGACTCCCATGAATTGTTCTCTGATCTACACACATGCTCAGTGCCGTGCCCACACACACAATCAATGTTTTTTTTTTTAAGCCATTTAAGGTCAGTTTTTAAAATGTAAGAATGTTTTTTGTTCATTGGAGCAGACTCTTACTATGTAGCCTTAGTAGCCTGGAGTTTACTGCATAGACCAGGCTGACCTCAAACTCACAGAGAGCCATCTACTTCTGCATCCCAGTGCTTTGTTTAGAGGTGTGTACACCATGTCCAGTCTAAGATTTTACTATTTTATGTGGTATAGGTGTATGTATATCTAGGCACCTCTTGCATGACTGGTGCCATGGAGGCCAGAAGAGAGTGTCAGATCCCCTGGCACTGGAGTTACAGATGTTGTTAATGAGCTGCCTTACAGGTGCTGGGGATTGAGCCCTAAAGAGCCAGTTCTCTTAACTGCTGAGCCATCTCTCCAGCCCTCTGTCCAGTTTAGAGAAAGAAACTCAACTATAAAAACTGTTGTGAATTTTTATTAGATCAAGGCCTAAGTGGTTAGTATAAAACTTCTTAGGTTCAAAGTCAGGATTCAGGGTTTGCTCTACCTTCTGTGTTGGTGTGACTCCGCCTCTCCATTTAAAGTAGTAAATGTATGTCTCTGGGTTATCAGAGTTCATGAGGAGACCCAGATGAAGTACTTAGTGTTAATGAATTAATCTGCATGACTTTAGCTCACTTTATTCCCTGATGTTTTGAGCACCTAGTGTGCTGGGATGTTAGACACAGGAGCAGTCTGTAGAGAAATGGTTTTACTTACTGCTGTGATGTTAAACACCCTCCTTTTTTGTGGACTCCTTATCTAACATGAATAGCTTGATCAGCTGCAGGCTCGTAAAATGCCTCTAGCTCCTAAGTTCTTTGTAGCTTCTGTGGGAACTCTTATTTAGCATGTGCTGTTTACTCCTATTTGTGACCTAATTCACTGTTTCAGCTTGGTTCTAAGCCTATTCCAAACAGAAAAACTGTTCTTATTTGGAAAAGAGCCGCACAATGTAAAAATGCTAAGATAATAGGAACAAAATTTTAGAACATTAACCACCCACCACAGAAAACCCAATAGAAGCCAGGGAGGGAAAACAGTATAAATGTATCCAATTTTTAATATTTCTAGGATGAAGGGGAAGATAGTCTGTTAGGTTACAGGTGTAAAAGCAGGCCCATTCTGTAATTGAAGAAGAGGAGAGGAGCAGGAGCGTTTGAGTGGGTTATGCCTTTTAAAAAAAGAATTTATAAGAATTTCATTAAATCCATAATGACAAACTGTTTTTCTTTCAGACAAAATGAGCCTTCCAGTAACAGCCAAGAAAGAAACTCAGATGACAGGCAACCCCAGTGGAGACGAGAAGACCGAGCCCCTTACCAAGACAGAGAGAGCTATGGCCAGCCAGCGAGGCATCACCGTGGACCTCCGCAGCGGGACTGGAAATGGGAAAAGGACAGCTTTAATACCACCAGAAAAAGCAGCTTTCCGCATTTGAGGAATAGCGGTGGGCCAAGAGGAGGTTCTGGGTGGCATAAAGGTGCTGCAAGGGGCTCATCAGCGTGGTTCCATAATCACAGCAACTCTGGAGGTTGGCATTCAAACAATGGGGTGGTGGATTGGAACTATAATGGTACAGGAAGGAATTCCAGTTGGCATTCTGAAGGAACAGGTGGCTTTTCCAGCTGGCACATGAACAACAGTAACGGAAACTGGAAATCCAGTGTGCGTGGTACAAATAGTTGGAATTACAATGGCACTGGAGACAAATTTCAACAAGGCAGAAACAGAAATTCTAACTATCAAATGGAAGACATGACCAAGATGTGGAACAAAAAACCTAATAAGCCAAGTAAGTACAATCAGGAGAGATACAAATGGCAGTGGCAGGACAGTGACAAAGCTGGCAAATACAGAGGTCCTGCCGAGGGGTTTGCCAGTGACCAGTTCCCTTCGGAAGGCTTACTCGAGTTCAATTTTGAGCAACGGGAAAGTCAGACCACTAAACAGACAGACACAGCAGCCTCAAAAATTAATGGAAAGAACGGCAACACAGCAAGGGAGAAGTTCCGCCGCTGGGCACCTTATCCTTCCCAGAAGACTCCAAATTTACAGTCGGCCCTCAGAGAAGCCACTGGCAACAAGTCAGAAGTGGTAGATAAACCTCTCTTTAATTTTAGCTTAATAACTGCAGGAATGCAAGAACCCGTTGATAAAACGATGCTAAAAACACAAAAGGAAGTGCGTCCTGGATCTCCCAGTCACAAAGCCGGTCCTGATGGCACTGCTTTCTGTGAGGCGGCGAGAGCTTGCCCCATTACTGAACAGTCTGAACCACATCGGAAGTCAAATAAGAGTCCATTGTTGAAATCCCCTCTCCTTTCACTTCCAACTCCTAAACCAGGCCCTCATAAACATAGTTTAAAGAACCGCTCAAAAAACAATGAAACAAAATCCTTTTCTCCTGGAGATCGTTCATATCTCTTGAACAAATCCACTGTAGAAGGTAGCCATGGTTCTTTCTACTCACCCAAGTCACATGACTTATGCCCTCGTGTTTTAAAGGGGAGTAAAACCGTGTCAGGCTCTGAAAAGGAACCTGACCAGAAGTTAAATGACACATCGCAGAAAGCTCAAGAGGCACTCCAGTGTTCCAAAACACCGCGGAAGCCGCTCCTTAGCACGCCCAAAAGGCCTGAGAACCGAGTAAAAGAAAGTAGGAGTGTAGAAGAGTCAGCAGAAGACTCTGTAAATGTTGAGTGTCAGGTGCGCTTGGCTGAAATTGATGGTGCCACATCTGATCCAGAAAAGCACAGCGTAAAAAGTGGAGCAGTAGATCTGGCAGCTACAGAGGCCGCATCCTGTAGTGCTCACACTGCGGGTGAGGAGCGAGGGAGCCAGGTCCTGGGCACATCTGGGACCCTTTCCACCTCCCCACACCATCCCACAGTTCACCAGAAAGAGGCCGAGTTAGAGGTAGCAGAAGCAGCCAGTTCACACTCTAGCTTACTGCTAGACTTGAAGACCTCTCTAGAAGGTGTACAGGATAACAACCTTGTTAAATCTGATGGACCTTTTGAAACAGAGAGCTTCGAGGGTGCTAGCTTGGACACAGAGCTTCAGAAAAGTGATATCAGTAATCAGCCCCCAGGCACACTCCTGCCAGATCTAAGTAAACTTGGTTTTCCTGCCTCGCTCCAGAGAGATCTAACCCGACACATTAGTTTGAAGAGCAAAACTGGAACACATCTTCCAGAGCCAAACCTCAATAGTGCTCGACGGATTCGGAATATTAGCGGCCACCGAAAGAATGAAACAGAGAAGGAGTCTGGGCTTAAGCCAACCCTACGACAGATTCTAAATGCGTCAAGGAGAAATGTCAACTGGGAACAGGTCATTCAACAAGTAACCAAGAAAAAGCAAGAGCTGGGCAAAGGTTTACCCAGGTGTGTGCCTCCTTCAGTATCTGTCCTTGCTTTCTTTTGAAGGGTACCGCCGTTTGGCCTTGATTAAAAGAGAGTTTATGTTCTACTTAATTAAATGTATGTCAAAAATATCAATTGTAGATGTCTTCTTTAATTCAGTATCAAACCGTGACTGCCCCTGTCTGGCACATGTGACAGTCTTTCCTGACAGTGCAGTAAAGATGGGGCACACCTGAGAAGCTCACTATGGACCTAGGAAAACGCCATCAGAAATCTGTCACTTTGGTTCAAATGGACCAGAGCGTGGTATCTCCCTCTGAACCTCAATGTTTAGAACCAATGGTAAAATTTTCCTTGTATCTGCTCTTGCCGCCTGTCACTCGGCTCGGGGGTACAGACAGGGTCAGAGTGCTTTCTCCTAAGCTCTCGTCACGTTTTGAGGTACTGCTCTGAATGGTCAAAGAGTGTTCGACATACCTTTGCTTACTTTAAAAACCATAATTTTGCAGCAGTATAAGTGTGACCCTCCAGGCTCAGGGTCTTTACTGTTCTTGCTGATTAATTTTTCTTTCTTAGGCCTTTGAATAATAGTGAATGGTGTGGTAAAGCATAGAGAGGCATACTTAGTGGTTGTGAATGCTTGGTAAACTGGTTTCTTTGTTTTTAAGATGTTTATTATGGAAAAAGCTCTATTTGAGTGGGGAGGGGCAACCCAGATGTTACTAACTTGTGTGCACTCTGTAACTGTGTACCATTCTGTTTTAGTGCCTGTGGCGTTGCAGTGTGTGTTTCCTCTCTGAATCCCTTGCAGGAACTGACCTTTGTAACCTACCACATTACGTGGTGCTCCTGTGCTCCTCCCCTTCTGTGCTCCTCCCCAGCCGCATCTCATTTGTTCCCTTTTTTTTTTTCCTCTCTTTCCTTTTTAAAGGTTTGGCATAGAAATGGTACCTTTGGTTCAAAATGAACAGGAAGTCTTGGATTTAGATGAAGAGCCTGATCTGTCCAGACTTGAAGGATTCCAGTGGGAAGGTGTTTCCATTTCCACATCCTCCGGCTTGGCAAGAAAACGAAGCCTTTCTGAAAGCAGCGTGATCGTGGACAGGGCTCCTGGATATACCTTCTTTAGTGAGGAAGGTACCGGCAAAGAAAATGAACCCCAGCAGGTTGCTTCACCTAGTAACACATTGAGTGCTGCCCCGAGTCAAAAGGCAGCCATGTATCTTGATCAGGAAGTGGCACCTCTGACTCCCTCTGTCAGAACAGGTGAAAGGGTTGGAAACATTCCTACCCAAAGGCGACATAGTGCACAGTTACCATCTGATCCCATGATGCCTTTCATGCATTCAGCCAGAGAGCTGCACAGCCAGGAGAGGTCTACACCATCGTTGGAGCACTGTGCCCAGGAGAGCAGTGGAGAGGGAAACTCACTGTCATCAAATGCATCTTCAGTTCATGCAATCTCCAGCCTAGCAGATGCAGCCACTGACAGTAGCTGTACCTCAGGTGCTGAGCAGAACGATGGGCACAGTGTTAGAAAGAAGCGAAGAGCCACCGGGGTGAGTATGAGTCCCCGTGCTTTTGTAAGGTGTCTTGTGTGAAGACCTTGAATATTAATAAGAAAGGCTCAACTGAGTTTTATTGGGTTATCTGGATGTAGTTTCCTTTGCTCTGAAGTAGAATATAAAAGACTCCTGACCTTCATCCTTTTGGCTCCTCACCTGAGTAGCTCCACTAAGCTAGATGTAATGTGATACGAATGTACAGTACCAGGAAAACCTGACGTCATCTCCAAAGCAGTGGTTCACCTGGCTAAGGAGAGGTCACGTCTTCAGGCGAAACTCACTCTGCTTTCATAGAGGCGTGTGCGAATGTGGGACTCGTGGTTAAGCTGGAAGGCTTACCGCTGAAGAGATTGGATAGTGGTAGAGTGCGTATACATGGACATTGTGTAATGACTGCTGAGTCCTTGTAATTGTTTTTCATCTGTAGTACCCCACCTGGTCGTGTAACACACTTTGCCTTCATTTAACCAACTTGTACTCCTCTGGCTCTGTGATGATGGTGGTGGTGGTGGTGATATCCCTGTTCCAAGGTCCCTCTCTGGAAAAACAAAACAAAACAAAAAGCTGCTTGTGGTCATACTGTCTGTAATACTGCACCCCCTCCCTTTGAAACTGAAGTGATTAACAGATTTAGACCTACTTCAAGCCCTGAGTCTGCTTCTCTAAGCCAGAGAAGATACTGTTCGTGATTTTAAATATTCTTGAAGCTTGAGGTCTACCCTTTTGAAAAGCCATTATCTTGAGGTTTGCCTATTAGGTAGTTTAGCTTCTTGTCGGAAACTATGGAAATTTAGAGTGGAACCTGTGCCATGACGAAATCAATTAAAATGTCCTTGGTTCTGCCTGTCTCATCTGCACGTCATTTTACCTACATGGAAGGCTGGGCACGTGGGCTGTACTAATCTATACCAGAAAGCACTTGACCTTTGGGCTTTGTATTAAAAACCTTAAGTCAGCTAACAGTTGAGTTGTGCACAAGGCCTGTGTTGTTCTCTCAGAGATGATAGCAGTAGCAAAGGGTATCATATGGCTATCTTAAAACTCATTCCTTTTGTTCCTCTCTTGCAGAATTTCCCTTATTTATATATTCAATATTCAATATTCTTTCTCTTCAGGATGGATCTTCCCCTGAACTACCAAGTCTTGAGAGAAAAAATAAAAGGAGGAAAATTAAAGGAAAGAAAGGTATGGCTATAGAATTCTATAGCAGAACATAATTGTTTTAATTATTTTGTTTTTGTTTGTTTGTTTGGAGTCGGGGTTTTTTTTGTTTTTTTTTTTTAAGACAGGGTTTCTCTGTGTTAACAACTCTGGGTGTCCTGCAACTCACAGAGATCCACTTGCCTCTGCCTCTCTAGTGCTGGGGTTAAAGGTGTGTGCCACCACTGCCTGGCCTATTGTTTTTATTTTTGCAGTGCTAGGGGTTGAATCCAGGGCCTCATATACGCTAGGCAGGTGCTCTACCTGTATCTCTGAGCACAAGAAGTTCCCTATAGCACTTTAGCTTTTTTATAATTTGACATGTCAATTTCCACTCATTAAACACTGAACATCTGCTTCATAGTACTTACTGTTTGTTTTGAGGTGGTATTGCTATATAGTCAAGACTGGCCTTTGAGATAGGTATCGTTATGTTGTCAAGACTGGCTTTAGACTTAGAGATCCTCTTGTCTCAGCCTTCCATGTGCTAGAATTACAAGCTTAGAGCATACCACAAGGCTTGCTGTATGTGTTTTGTTTGTTTGTTTGTTTTTATTGAGAAAGGAACTGAATTGTGACTCAGTGGTAAAGTACTTACTTGCCTAAAAGGCATGAGGCCCCTGGTTCAGTCCTCAGCACTGGGTATCACCTGTCTATAGACCCAGGATGGCCTGGGCTACAATCCTGCTTTAGCCTCTGGAAAGCAGGATTGCAAACTTGTGCCACCATACCTGACTCGTACATGGTTTTTCTTATATTGTGGTCTTGTTTAAAAGAGCATGCTAGTAGTGTCACACGCCTTTAATCCCAGCACTTCCGGAGGCAGAGGCAGGCGGATCTCTGTGAGTTTGAGGACAGCCAGGACTGTTAAAAAGAAACCCGTCTCAAAAAACCAAAAAAAAAACAGTGAAGAAAAGTATGATTTCTTGCAATGTTAGTTGCTGCTGCTGAAGAAAACATGATGCCATATAGAACTGAAAGCTAAGTTATATCCTAGGCATATATGTATAGGCAGGAAATTTCACTGATTCTAATTTCACCAATTAGAATGAGAAGGAACAGGTAATTTAATTAAATTTGTGTCCCTCTCACTTTTTTTTGTTGTCCTGTGACTCATACTAGCCTTGAACTCAGAGTAGCTCTGCCTTCAAGTCCCAAGTGCTGGGATTGCAGCTGGGAGCCAGCTCACCTGGCTTCACCTTTATATTTTTGAGGTTCCGTGTTTGCTTTTCTGATGTGAATTAAGGAGTTTGTAGCAGAAAGAACGGGCTCTGATTTGGGTCCGTTTAGGTTTCTATTCAGCATCTTCATTGGGGAGCTTTCGTAAAGAGAACTGCAACACAGTCACAGAACAAAAAGTGCTCCTCAGCACACTGGGGAGGTGGAGGCAGGAGGATCAGTAAGTAGCTGGAGGTTATCAAATGCTTAGAAAGTTCAAGGCCAAACTCTGCTATGTAATGAGACCCCAACAATAGCAACAACAAAAATCATAAATAGGCCAGTTGTGATTGGTGCCCTTAATCCCAGCTCTCCACAGAGACAGAGGCAAGTGGGTCTGAAAGTTCCAGGTCAGCTGAGACCATGTAGCCCCTGTCTCAAAAACCAGCAAGAGTCTAGTTATAGGGAACTGTTTGAATCTAAGAAACAGATGAGAACATGGTTTCAAAAGCACGTTCTGTAGTCTGAGGCTCGGTCTCGCCCAAAGCCCTAAGTGAGGAGCTCGACGGACAGCAGAAGAAAGGGAAACACGACCAGAGCCATCCGTTCTAGGGCTGAGATCTCAAACACAGTAAGCGGGGGTAGAAACTGAAAGTCCCCTTCTGGTTCTTGTTTTATGGGATCCATGAGTCTTGTTTACCTGTCGGGGAAAAAGATGTGTTCGTGCTGAGCACGTGTGTTTCTACCTTTGAAGGAACTATTATTAAACCAGCCCTTTTGTTTTGTTTTGACAGAACGTTCTCAGGTTGACCAGCTACTGAATATCTCCTTAAGAGAGGAAGAACTGAACAAGTCGCTGCAGTGCATGGATAACAACCTCCTGCAGGCGCGGGCTGCTCTACAGACAGCTTATGTGGAAGTTCAGAGGTTGCTCATGCTCAAGCAGCAGGTAACAGCTGGAGAATACTAGGAACGCTGGCAAGCTTGGTGTTGGATTCGAGAATGCTTAGCAAAGTATTTTCCTTTCAGATAACTATGGAGATGAACGCACTGAGGACTCACAGAATACAGATTCTACAAGGATTACAAGGTATTGTGACCTTTTGTTCTCTGTCCCGGGTAAAGCAAAGAAGCCATGGGAGTGTCACACAGTTTCCTGCATGTCTCCAGGGTTTCACCCAGAGGCCTGTGCGTCTCAAAAATGTTTTAACAACTGGGCTGAGTGGCCAGGCCTGTGTTCTCCTGCTCAGGAGGATCATGAGATCAAGATTTATCTGGGTTAGAGAGTGAATTCAAGACCCGCCTACATCTCAAAATGAGAGAGTAAAAAGAATTAGTGATATAGCTTAGTTGTTGAGTGCTTGCTTGATATTGGCAAGGCCCTAGCTTCAGTTAATAGTGTGGGACTGCAGTAATGGAAGAAGGAAAAGAAGCAGTGGAGACTTTTGGTTAGGAATCAGAAGCACTGAATTCAAATCTTGGCTTCCATTAGTAACTGTATGACTTGGATAAGCTATTTAATATTTGATTTTTTTTCTCTGCCTTTGTTGGTTGTCTACATTGTGTTTGGACAAGTTAAAAGGGAGGATGCTATCACATTATTAATTTAATTTCTTATTTGTTTCTATTTTTTATTGTTTGTTTGTTTGTTTTTAATGCAGGGTCTTTCAATGTAGCCCTGGCAGTCCAGGGAATTTGCTCTGTAAACCACACTGGCCTGGAACTCACAGAGATCTGCCTCCTCTATGAGACAGGATCTCATGTAGCTCATGTTCCCTTAAACTTGGTAGGTAGATAATGATGCTGCTGAACTCTTCATTCTTTGTCTCCATCTTCCAAGTGCTGTGATTACAGGCACGTAATACCGTGACCAACTTAAAATTATTTCGTAACCTTTAATATACATATTGGATGCCAGGTATGCTGATATGTGCCTTTAATCCCAGCCTTGGGACCCTGAGACAAGTGAATCTCTGTGAGTTCAAGACCAGTTTGGTCTATATAATAAGTTCCAGAACAGCTAGCATTACATAGTGTGACCTTGTTTCTAACAAAACAAAGCAAATAAAAACTGACTTTCCAAGTGACATTCTTGCATTTGTATGTGTTGTCTATGTTTCTTGTTGTAGAAACGTATGAGCCCTCTGAGCACGCAGAACAGGCTCCCCACAGCTTCACAGCACGAGAACAAAGGAACAGTCAATCTCAGACCTCTCTTGAGACCCCACTGCTGCCTACTCCCCTTTTCCCAGGGTTTCTGGAGCCGCCTCCTTCCCATGTGTCTCTACCATCCACTGGAACCCCTCTCCAATTAACCACGTCTGCTTTCCAAGTCCATGGTACTCTCCCTGACTCATCAGTTCAGATTAAACAAGAGCCCATGTCTCCTGAACAAGAGGGGAGTATGAATGCTGTGCCCCAAGGCCCTGCTTCCAGTGTGTCCAAGGAATTACTGCAGACTAATAGTGAGTAAGCCTTTCTGTAGTTCAGGGCAATCCTGAAGACAACTATACATCATTGTATAAAGCCTGCTAGAGCAAAGTCACACACAGGTGGATCTCTGAGTTAGAGAGCAGCCTAATCTGTTCTACGTCTCAAAGTAGTTATTATAGTTAGTTTTTTTTTATTGACATAATTTATATAGGAGGGTCATTTTCAAATACTTGAGAATGTGGTCGGAGAGATGACTCAGTGGGTAAAGGTGCTTGTCGCCAAGCCTGATGACTTGAGGAGGAGAACCCGGACCCCCACATGCACAGCTGTGCTGAACACATAGATATAAAATAAATGTAAATTCTTAAGAAACTAATAAAATGTTTCAGAGAATGTAATTTAAGTTTCATTGTTCCCTGATTTTCTCAGAGCTTAATGAATTGACATCACACTGGCATTTCCACAGGGTTTCATTTGTGGTTTGATGCTCGGGTTAAGATTGGTCACCCTGTTTGTGTGCTAAGGTGTGTACTGTGAATTTCTGAGCACTTAACTGTCTTTATTACCTCAGATGTAAGCCAGGATTAATTAAAAACCTGAGAGGCGAGTGGTTGTATTGGCCATAGGGTTCTGATGTTCACAGGTATTAACAGGAACTTAATGTGGGTTGAGAAGGAGCCAGAACTTAACACTTGTCGGGTTAACATTTGAGAATAACTTCTTAACTGTTTTCGTTACTTGAAATCTTATCATATTAAACACTCAGTCAGAGAACAGACAGTCCAAATGAAACGGCTCAGCAGACATAAACTAGCCAAGGCAATCCTGCCAGCTCAAGTCTGATCCCTGGAACCCACGTAAAAAGCTGCGTGCAGTGGCACATATCTAATCCCAGCACTCCTTGGTGTGGGAGGTCAAGATGTGAATGACTTGGAAGCTTGCAGGCCAGCTAGCCTCGAGTATGAAGCACAGCAGCAGAAAACAAGCGAGCCTGTCTCAATACGGTAGAAGGCAAGAACTGACACTCAGTATTGTCCTCTGACCTGCACACTTACGCCATGGTATGTACACACACATACGCTCCCCCTGCCAAAAGTCAAAGAGGCATTGTGTGATTCCTTAAGCTAAAAACAGTTTTTGAGAAATTACCTCAGCTTCTGCTATTGGTGCCCTGTTGCAGTATTTATGCAGATGCTAGTATCGAATGTCTATGATCTGTCATATTGAATTTTAAGTTACTTTTATGGGATTTATTTAGGTTTTTAAAACTATAACGCATTAGAGTTGGTGAGGTGACTCAAGCCTGAAGAAAGCCTGGGTTCAATCCCAGTCCGATACTGTAAAAAGAGAGAAAAGACTTCTGCAAATTGTCCTCTGACCTTCACACATGCCCACATGCACAAATAAAATTAGCAAAAAGAAATACAATTTATGCAGTGAATTATACTGACTTTTGAATAGATTATCTAATAAAAATTAACTGGATATATTTTGTTATGTATTTCCTATCTTTTAAGGGGGTAGGCTGCTGGGATTGCATTTTAGGCAAAGTCAGTACTGCCGCAGAACTACATTTCAGAACTGTATTTCAGTCCATCTTACACCATAAGTGTCTGTTTGTTTACATGCTGACTGTATAATAGACCATAATCTGACCTTAGTCTGTGGGAGCTAAGGAGGAGGTTCTGTGGATGAAATCATTTACTCTTAAACGCTGAGGATCCACGTTGTAATCCCGCACACTATCGTAAAATGGGACTCAGATAGAATCAAGAAGTCCATGCATCGACCAGCCTCAAGTACACAGTGCATTGGCAGAAGCAGTAAGAGATTCTCTGCCTCCATGCAAGGTAGAAAGTAAGAATGGCTCCCAAAAGCTGTCCTCTGACCTCCACACAAGTTCCTGGGCATGTGTGCACTGGAGCTTATTCCTTGTATGCATGCATGCATACACACAAAGCAAAGCCTGTATACCATTAAATATGTGAACATTCAGAGTAGAAGAGAAATCAGTAGGCACAGTCCCTGGCTGCAGAAGCTGATTTTCTGTTTGATTTCCTGATTCAGGAGTGGTCAGTGACAGCTTCCCAGTTTACCCAGCCACCCCTGCAGCATTAACTTCAGAGTCCACAGAAAGCTGCCTGGAGGCTAACCGAGATAAGAATTCTCCTGTGGGGCAAGTAAATTCCAGAAGCAGAGAAAACTCCCTCTCCTCCCAGTCTCCTGAGCATCCTGGCGTAAACAAAGGTGAAGAGTCTGCCAAAGGCAGCAGCGGATCTGAAGCCTGTAGCAGTTCTTTTCTGAGGCAGTCTTTCACTCCCGAAACCCCTGTGGAGAAGGAGACTCACTCTCCAGCTGAGCAGCAGGCTGAATCCACACTGGCATCAGCAGAAACTAGAGGGAGCAAGAAGAAGAAGAAACTCCGGAAGAAGAAGACGCTAAGGGCCACCCATGTTCCCGAGAACAGTGACACTGAACAGGATGTGTTCACTGCTAAGCCTGCAAGAAAGACAAAGGCTGGAAAGGTAGCTAAAGGGGGGAAAGTGACGACCTCCACCTGGGGAGACAGCAGACCTGGGCGGGAGCAAGAACCTCTTGGAGCGGAGCCCGACAGTGAGTCCTCCCTGGAAGTCCTGGAAGTCCCTAATCCTCAGTTAGAGGTAGTTGCCATCGATTCTTCTGAATCTGGAGAAGAGAAACCAGACAGCCCATCAAAAAAAGACAGCTGGAGCTCTGCAGAGCAAAACCCAGTAGAAGCTTCTCGTTGTGGTTGTGATGAAGTTAGCTCTACCAGTGAGCTTGGCACCCGCTACAAGGATGGCGTTCCTGTCAGGTAAGTTCATACCCAGGTTCCTGGGAAACGGCCCAGAATCAAGTATGGCAAGGGCTAAGGAAAACCCATAATCCATTGCATTTTCCATCAGATCCAATCAGGAGCAAGCATACATCCTGAAGAACCTCTAGCCCACACGCGATCAAGCACAGCCAGTGCACACGGCTCAAATAAACTTGTTTATGGGAATGGCTTGTTAATCTCCCATAAACAATGGCCTCCAGCATTTCTGGAACCATCTGTCCTTGGGCAGGGGGCTCACAGATTAGAAGCATTTTTGTTTCACGGATCTCTAGGGCATAGTAATTAGAACCTAAAATGTACCTTTGGCTCTCACAACTGCTCTTTCAGTTACTCTTTGTTGTTGTTGTTTTAAAGCCAGGGTTTCTCTGTATAACCCTAGTTGTTTGTTCTAGAACTTGCTCTGTAGACCAAGCTGGCGGCCTTAAACTCAGAGATCCACCTGCCTCTGCCTCCCAGGTGCTAGAATTAAAGGCATTTGCTAGCACCACCCAGCTTCATTTTCTCTTCTAAGTAGAATTTTAGAATTTATAAATCAAAAATTATGTGAAAAAAGTTATGAACAGGGGAAAATCAAATCTTGGAAGTTGGGTTTTTTTGGGGGGGGGGTGTTTTCTCTTTTGACTGTTGTAAATTTCAAAGAAATTTCAGGTGGAAAAATTGAGTTAGAAAATTTTTAGTTTTACCATCTGTCCTGGTCTCCAGATGCCAAGAAATTGTTGCTTTTATTTTTTCAGTGTGGCAGAAACTCAGACAGTGATCTCCTCCATAAAAGCATCCAAGAACTCTTCAGGTAATTGTTCTGTTTGTTTAAAAGTAGCTGCAGGGAAAGGGTTCTTAGAGTTTAGAAGTCTAGTCAATTTAAACCTATTTACACAGGGCAGGAGTTGAAGTGAGAGGTTACAGCGCCAAGTCTGTAGGTCCTGAACTTTGCAAGCTCACGCGCACATCTGTCTTAACTGGTTCTCTTTTCTGACCTCATTGGTTTTAAAGTTGTCCTTGTTTTTTGGTGGAGTCTTCCCAATGAAGAACTTTGAAAATTGTGACGTTCTGCTTGGGGAGCTAGGACTTAGGAGAATCTTTCAGTGATTTCATTCAAATCCTCTAGATGGTTGTGATGACTTTGACTTAGTATCTTTTTAGTCTGTAGCAGACATGTGTCTGAAACCTGTTTCTGATTTCTAGAAATATCTTCAGAGCCAGGAGATGATGATGAGCCAACAGAAGGGAGCTTTGAGGGACACCAAGCTGCAGTGAATGCAATTCAGATATTTGGAAACTTGCTGTACACATGCTCAGCAGACGCAAGTGTCCGAGTCTATAATTTGGTGGTAAGAATGATGTTTGGAGAACCTCTGGTTGCAGCCTTTAGAACTCACTTGTGTTGTTCCTAGCATCAATGGAAGGAACAAGCTTACTGGCTTCCCAGGGGGTGTAGGCTGGCATAGAGGCAGTGGATCATGTAGTCCACGGGGACAGCTCTGCCTTCTCTAGCCACATTTCCCAAAATGTAGTTCTGAGAGGTGCCTACCTCTCAGGTATCTTCCTTTCTCCATTAGAAAAAAACTCTCCTGTGCAAGCAGTTATGTAATCTAGGGGCGTGAGAAGTATTGGAAGTGACCCCAGGAAGAAAGCAGTATGAGTATGTGCTCTACAAATCAGAGCTTGATGTGGTAGCATATGCCTGTAATCCCATCACTTGGAAAATAGAGACAGGAGGATCAGGAGTTTAAAGCTACCCTCTGGGGCTGGAGAGATGGCTCAGAGGTTAAAAGCACTGGCTGCTCTTCCAAAGGTCCTGAGTTCAATTCCCAGCAACCACATGGTGGCTCACAACCATCTGTAATGAGATCTGGCGCCCTCTTCTGGCCTGCAGGCAGACACACAGACAGAATATTGTATACATAATAAATAAATATAAAAAAAAAAGCTACCCTCTGGTACAAAGGCTTGAAGTGTTTTAAGCTACATGAGTCTGTGTCTCAAAACACCTAAATCTAGGAAATCAGGTCTAGAGTTCAAGTTGTGAGATGTGTGTATGGATGTATGTATGTATATTCTAAATAGATCTTGTTATATATGCAGACGTAACATTTAAGATAGATTTTTCCTAAGCTACTAGGACCAGTGATAGCACCTGATTTTTTTTAAAATATTTATTTTATTATGTATACAATATTCTGTCCGTGTGTATGCCTGTAGGCCAGAAGAAGGCACCAGACCCCATTACAGATGGTTGTGAGCCACCATGTGGTTGCTGGGAATTGAACTCAGGACCTTTGGAAGAGCAGACAATACTCTTAACCTCTGAGCTATCTCTCCAGCCCCAGCACCTGATATTTTTAAATTGTTGTGCAATCTCATAATCTGGTAATCAAATGCATAACTCTCTGGACAATTAGTAGCAGTTTGGACTTGCTAGGTTCCTTGGTCCATATATTAGAAAAACTTGACCTGGGCATTAAGTGAAATTCTCTCCTGCCTCATTGTGAATCACCTAGGTATTTTTGGGTGTGGCTTAGTAAGTATATGGTTGTAGGTATCTCACTGTATGTGACTTTGTTGGGCATCCAGTGGACAACAGATGTTCACTGAGCACACTTTGTGTACTGAGCAGCATAATTGTGATGAATATAGGAATGAACTGAAAGTTTTTGCTTTGTTTTTATTAACAAAGGACATTGTCTAAGTCCTCTATATTGGTTACTTTATCACTTTGATAAAACACCATGACCAAGGCATCTTCTAGAAGAAAGGGTTTGTTTGGGCTTCCAGTTCCAGAGGGCTGTATTCCTAGTGGCAGGAACAGGGTGGCAGCCAGCACAGTGGCAGGATGAGGAAATTCCCATCTTAAACCTCAGGCATGGAGCAGAGAGAGTGAACTGGAAATGCCTGCCCCCTTTGACATAGCTTGTCCAAGCAAGGCTGTACCGCCTAAACCTCCCCCAGACAGCACCACCAGATACCTAAGACTGGTGAACATTTCTGGCGCAAACCACCATACCTTCTAAAATCCTGTACGTAAGAATCTGACCTGTGCCTGATTTTCAGAGTCGGAAGTGTATTGGTGTCTTCGAGGGCCACATTTCCAAAGTGAACTGCCTGCTTGTCACTCACACCTCTGGGAAGAATTCTGTCCTGTACACTGGTTCCAGTGACCACACCATTCGCTGCTATGATGTCAAGGTAGGCGGCTCTAGAGAAGTCAGAGTGGTAATATTGAACCTTTAACTATATTTTCTGTTATTCTTCTTCTTTGACTTTCTCAGTTTGTTTCTGAGTGTATTTTAGCATGCTGATACTATCTTAGGTAGATAGAAGATTCAGCATGAACCACATTTTCTGTTTGTTCATCAATATCTATTAATTTAATTAACAGTATAGTTCCCTTGGTCTTTCTCATAAATATTGTCTTATTTCATGTGTCAGAATTAATCTTAGTTGCAATATTTTAATTATACTTATTTACTTTGTATGTGTGTGGAGGCCAGAGAATGACTCACTGAGTTTTTCCTCTCCATCTTGTGGTCCAAGGGATCAAACATAGGTTTGATCAAGCTTGGCTGCAGGACCCTTCATCTGCTCAGCCGTCTCACTGGTCCCTGTTAATTTAATTTCTTTAAAAGTTAAATTTTATCGAGTCTAGAGAAACAAGTCAGTAAAGTGCTTGCCTTGAAGAAGACCTGAATTCTTTCCCCAGAACTCATTTTAAAAAGCTGAGCTTAGGGCTGGAGAGGTGGCTCAGAGGTTAAGAGCACTGGCTGCTCTTCCCGGGATCCTGAGTTCCCAGCACCCACATGGTGGCTCACAACCATCTATACTGAGATCTGGTGCCCTCTTCATGGCCAAAGTTCAGATCCATGGGGTCCATATGATGGAAGGAAGGAACTGGCTCTGTACGTTGTCCTCTGGCTTCCACAGTATGTCAGAACAAACACTGAGAAACAGGCATGAGCCATTACACCTAGTATAGGATATGCTGGGGATTGAACCCAGGACTCCCTGCCTGCTAGACAAATACTCTACCAACTGAGCCACATCACCAGCCTGCCAAATGCAGCTTTATAATTTATTTATCTTTATTTGTTTCAGAAGCTTAACACTCAAGTCAGCCCTTTTAAGAATTTATACATTTTTAGTTAGAAATACCAGTATGGTTAAACTGTTTTTTGATAGTACTCTTACACCCTGGGATCTCGACCTTATATTTTAAAGAAGAAAAATACTTAAGATAATCTACCATGCTTTTCAGCCTCATTTTAAAGCATTTTGAGGAACAACTGTTCACACATTTACCACTATCCTCTGTTAGTAAGGGATTATTTAGGGTGTGGGGGGTTTTGTTTTTTTTTTCAGACCCGAGAATGTACAGAACAGTTAAAGCTGGAAGACCGGGTTCTCTGCCTTCATAATAGATGGAAAATCCTCTATGCTGGGCTGGCAAATGGCACTGTGGTCACTTTCAACATAAAGGTCAGTGGTTGGGGAGTGAGCTGAATTTCCCTGCTGTGGGAAATAGTGGGAGGCCATCTCTTTCTTCTGGTTTGAGGAAAGAGCTAGCCTTTATTTAAAAACAGTTGTCTTCTAGTGCAAGTGAAATCTGTCCTCCTTTCTGTCTGCTCAGACAAATGCCAGGACCAAAATGTAGCCCTACTAAATTAAACCAAGCCTGAATATTTGGGCCAAATAATGAGTCATGGATTAAATCAGTCTATCTCGTGACAGCATGGAAAATGAATCTGGGCCCCTGACTTCTGACGCTAATGAGGATTGGAGGCTGACTTGGGGTTCTGTGAGGGAAAGTCAGTCAGAGGTCTCCTCTAACCGCTGTACAGCGTCATTCTTTTCCAGCCCAAGGATGGATTCATTTGGTGAGCAAACTTCACCATCTTCCTGTCCTGGGCCCCAGAGTAGCCTAGTTTCTGTTGCTGTGATGAAATAACCCAGCCAAAAAGCAACTCAAAGAGGAAAGGTTTATTTAGCTGATAGTTCCAGGTTAGACGGAGTGGAAATCAAGGCAAGAACTTGAAGCCACTAGCCAAGAACAGAAGGAAGTGAATACATGCAAACTTTTATTCAGCTCCATTGCTTCACTTTCCTAGTCAGGCACCAGACCCGAGAACGGTACCACCCGTACTGGTACTTAGACTTAGACAGGCCAACCTGACGACCTTCATTGAGACTCTTCTTCCCAGCTGAGCCTAGGTTGTGTCTAGTTGATAAATAATTTCCCGATGGCCTGGTAGTAGTGAGCTTACACATCAAAAGCCTTGCTCCCATTTCTGCTTTGGAAAGTAAGTGCACCCTGACAACTTGGAGAAGCCTTACTAGTAGAGTCGGGAAGACCTTGTCGGAGGCTTTGTGGGCAGCTGGCATGGAAGGATAGGCTAGGGTGAAGAGGAGGAAATGGGTGCGATGTGTACCAGAGCAGGGCTTGTGAGTACGGCTGCTTGTGGCACCGCGTCCCTGTCAGTCTCAGTGGTCCTGGTGCAGCACTGGCTGGGACCGTATAAGGAATGTGATGGAGCATGGCTTTGCTTTTTAGAAACCTTTAAAATGAAATGTGAAGACTCTAGTGTGTTTATAACCAAGTGATTTGGTTCATGATGTAATACATACAATTTTTTTTAACTGAAGACATGAGTGTCACTCTCCTGATTAGATTGAATTAAGCACTAGGAATAAGGACATAAGAGTAAATTAAAATTTTATTTATAAAGGATAGAAGCTTGATAGTTATAAAATGTTTTTTCTCTTTTGTACAGTTATTTAATGTCAGAGATCAATTACAAAGGGAGCATTTGGTGATATCAGATGAAAAAGGGTTTTACATGGTGGGAAGTTGAGAGAGGGAGCAGGTTTGAAAGGGTTGGGTGTGAATAGGTTGAACTCTTTGCTTCTTTGGTTGCCTATGCCCCTATAGTGCGGAGCATAGTACTGCACACCAAACTGTTTCTTACTCAGCCCTGAACTCCAGGCTTTCCTTAGCAGGTCAAGATTGTTTAGCTGCCAACGGCTGCTCTCTGCTTAGTTTCTGGGAGTTTTACTTCATGTATGTACCTTCTGTACCTTTTAAAAATTTTGGGGGGGAAATGAGCAGCTTTATGAATAAGACTGGCAAGCAGGGTAGGAGAAGGGAAACATGAATAAAGTGTGAGGTGAAACACGTATTTTTTATAGAGTTTATGGTGTGAAGATGCCATTCTGATAGAAAGGCTGCTATTTTCTGTTAAATGACTTCATGAGAGATAACATCTCCAGAGAGAGGAAGAGGCAGTTTGAGGTTTCAGAAGATGAAAGTAAGACTACTGTGGAGAATTTGAGGATTTTTTTAAAGTTTGTTTTGTTTGTTTTAGATGTATTTATCTTACTTAATGGGTAAGAGTATTTTGCTGCATATGTCTGTGTACCACATGCCCACAGGAATCAGGTCCATCCCTGAGAGTTTGAACTTTTTATTAAATTGGAGCGATGGTTCAGTGGTTAAGAGGACCAGAGTTCAGTTCCCAGCGCTCACGTCTGCTGCTCGCGATACCAGTAACTCAGATCCAGGAGGGCTGGTGCCTCTTATGGCCTCCATTGGGACTGAACACACATGGCAGAGCGCCCCTCCCTCCCAGTCAACAAACATACACATAAGTGAAATAAATTTAAAATGGTCTAAGAAAATGAGTACCTCTCAGGAGAGATTTTTTTGAAACATCATGAGCTATGTATCATATCTTTTGGGGGACAAATGAGAAGATAGGCATAGTGGCTCTTGCCAATAATCTCAGCACTGGGAAGGCTGAAACAGGAGATTTTTGTGAGTTTGAGTGTATGTAGTAATAAGGGCGGCGGGGCTGCATCCCCAGCACCCCGGTTGCCTGGCTAGCTTATGCCCGAAATAACAACACACAAACTGTATTCATTTAATCACTGCTTGGCCCATTTCCTTCTAGCCTCTTCTAGGCTAATTCTCACATATTAATTTAGCCCATTTCTAATCATCTGTGTAGCGCCCCTAGGTGCGCTTACCGGGAAGATTCTAGCCTATGTCCATCCTGGGTCGGAGCTTCATCTCGTGCGTCTGCCTGGGAGCTGGGAGCATAGCGTCTCTCTGAGGCATCTGCTCCCGAGAGGAGAGCTGTGGAGTCTGAGCTCACTTCCTCTTCCTCCCAGCGTTCTGTTCTGTTTACTCCTCCCACCTATCTTCTAACCAATGAGGGCCAAGCAGTTTCTTTTTATTTAACCAATGACCTTCCTCCATCAAGTGTAGTCTGGGCTGGCTACATAGTAAGTTCAAGGCTTGGCTGGGCTGCTTAGCAAGACCCTTTTTCAAAAAAGGAAAAATAACTGAGAGAGTCTACAGAAACTATTGGCAAAAACTCCACTGGAATTGACGTGTTATCAGGGTCAGGACAGTTCAGGTTGAGCTATAAAATAATTTGTAATGGATGATTTTGCCCTACTCTATTAGGGAAAAGAGGTCCTAAGATAGTTGGAACTGGCACGCCAGGGATGGGCAGTAGATGTGAGTTTGTAGCAGTTTTGGTTAGGTGTTTTTGAGGTTTTCTTGCTAAGTTGGTTTTATAGAATGTTGGTTTGTTTTTTAGAACAACAAGCAACAGGAGATCTTCGAATGCCATGGCCCTCGGGCAGTGAGCTGTCTCGCCACAGCTCAGGAAGGTGCCCGCAAACTGCTGGTCGTAGGATCTTATGACTGTACCATTAGTGTCCGTGATGCACGGAACGGGCTCCTGCTCAGAACCCTGGAGGGCCACAGCAAGACTGTTCTTTGCATGAAGGTGAGTAGATAGGTTTGGACATGCCCACTGCCGTGCGGTGTGTTGAGAGAGTCTTGTAAAGAGCACAGTCAAGGAGATTGCGGTCTTCTGTGCGTGGGTCACAGAATGAACAACCATTTTTAATAATGCTAGCTATCAAGAAACAATGTATTTTACTGTAGTGTGGGCACAGTCTAATGCCCTTCTAGGGCAAGTTCATAGTCAGTCCGCAGAGGTCATGAACCTAGTAATGTTCTGGCAGGTTCATCACGGTGCCTGGTGGTAAGACATGCATTTCCAGTTAGAAAACTTGTCTGGGAAACATTATTTTATACACAGTTTGTATTCATCTCAAAATGAATGGATGGAAAGTCTCATTTGCCACTGTGTGTTAATGTCACCTTGCACAGAAACTAACTCTCTGGTTTTCTTTAAGGTGGTGAATGACCTTGTGTTCAGCGGCTCCAGTGACCAGTCAGTCCATGCTCACAACATCCATGTAAGCTGGGGGTGAGGTGGAAGGAAGTTTGGAAGGCTTCCTCAGCACTCTTAATTTTTAAATCTCCCATTATAATAATGGGAGAATAATAATAACCCCATATGTGTGCGTGTGCTCTTGGGTAATTTCAAGCCACCTGGAAATTCTAATCTCATCCAAAAAAATTAATCAGAGAAAGACTTGAAGTTTCATTTGAATGCCTCTTTTAAGCTTGAGGACCGTGGCTCTCAGAGAGTGTTTAAAGTAGAACAGATGCAGGTAACCGGTTTGAGACTGCTCTTAGTTCTCAGATGCAGCGCAGAAGCTCGGTTCCTGGTCTGCAGGTGGAGTCCAGTCCATCCTGACCTTTACTGGACCAGTGAAATGATGAAAGTGAGAGGACAGCTTGGCTCTCATTTCTTAGCTCAGATTTATATATTTGTATATTGCGTGTGCGTATATAAAAATGATCTTGGGTATAAATATAAAATTTGTTTCGTGTACACATAGCCTGAAGATAATTTTGTTTTTTAGTGTGTCTGAGTTTTGACTGTAAATGGGGTGAGGTATAGAGTTTTTCACTTGTGATTGATGTCTATGCTATAAACTTGCGGATTTCGGAGAATTTATGACTTTTGGATTGGGGATACTCTCACTCCAGAAATAGAAGGGCTGGTAAATGGCTTAGCAGGTAAAGGAGCTTACCCCAAAATCCCATAAACTAAGTTTCATCCCCTGAACCCACATGGCAGAGGAGAACTGACTCTCCTATCACGGGGCATGTGCAGTGTTGTCTGGGCGACAGTACTGTGAGAGGGACACCGTGCGCTGCTGGCAGCAGAGTGGCTGCGGTTGTCTCCAGCGCCTCGGAATAGTTCCCTTAGAACCTTGCAGTCATGCAGTGTTGCTGGAACCCTAAAAGCCAGACTAGGAACTGTCCTCTTTTCTGATGCAGACTGGTGAGCTTGTGCGCATCTATAAAGGTCACAATCATGCAGTGACCGTGGTGAATATCCTGGGGAAGGTGATGGTAACTGCCTGCCTGGACAAGTTTGTCCGAGTCTACGAATTACAGGTAGGATTGGGCCCGTGTGTTTGGCATGACTGCTTTGAGGAGATGGTCTGGAGTAAGGATAGGCACCTTCAAATTTACACCCTCAAAATCTACACTTCCAAAATGATTAGGAAGCAGCCAGGCCAAACCTACACCCAGAAACCACTCTGAGATACTTGCTCAGGCTCCTAGTTGTCAAAATTAGCATGGTTTTTTACCATCTTCCTTTCTCTTTTGGGGGGATAGGGTGGATAAGTGGACAAGGATTGAGACAGGGCTGTGTAGCCCATTGGCCCCAAACTTCCAATGTAGCTGAGGATGTCTCTGAATTCCTGACCTTGCTGCGGTGAAAGTCAGGAAGCTTAGTGTTACCATTAACAAAACTTAGATGCTTTCTGAAGAGCATCCGCAGCCCCTTAAACCCTGTCCAGTTCTCCTCGTAGTGACTTCAGGTTTGAGACTTTGATTGTAAAGACATTGGTGTCAAGTCCTTCACTGACTTAATTCTCTAACTTTTTTTCTTCCACCTAAGTCCCATGATCGACTGCAAGTTTATGGAGGACACAAAGACATGATTATGTGTATGACCATCCATAAAAGTGTGGTGGGTATTGCTTATTTTGTCAGATGTTTGCCTCTGAATGTGTTTACTTCAGCCCCCATATGCTGATAATATTGTGTCTACTTCCAAAGTGACATCTTACCAACTTGATTGTGATGTGCCCCGTGTCGTGTCATAATAGTGGGAAGCAACCCAGCAACATTATTGATCATTCTATGTCTATGAATAGCTAAAATAAGTCCAATCTATATTACCACTGTTAATGGAATATGTGATTAGATGCTTTGAAAAGAATGAGTGCTGCTTTTGCAGACATGCTCTGAACAGGACACTGGGAACTAAGAAGATTTGGCCAATGTGGCATTGTTAGAGCCAACGTACCCAATCCTACTTAACTAACTTCCTTTCTTTCTTATTTGTTTAGACAGGGTTTTACTGTGTAGTCTTGGCAGGCAAGGCCTGGAACTCACTGTATAAACCAGACTAGCCTTGAACTCAGAGAGATGAGCCTGCCTCAACCTCCCAAGTGCTGGGATTAAAGGCTCCCTGCTTAGTTTAGAGGGTTTTATTTTTAGTTGTGAGCTTGAACTGGGATGGATGTTTTCAAGATCTTGAGCAGTAAAACCCTTTTTTTTTTTTTGCATTGAATACCGACTCCCAGTAGGCAGCACTGTCCCAGCACAGAGTAAGCAGGAACCTTGGAGCCCTGCCATCCTTGCTGTGAGCCACAGCTCAAGGGTGACCTCTCAGGAGCACAGTTCCAAGGGGGCTTCTGATCAAAGGTCGGGAAATTACTGCTCCATTTGGTGTCTGAACCCAGGTTTTATGTGAGGTTTCTGTTTGTTTATACTTCCGTGAAGGGTGTTTTTATATTTGTTTCTTCGTGTATATTTAGTTTGATATCCTGAACCTCTTTCTCCAGATTTACACTGGTTGTTATGATGGAAGCATCCAGGCTGTGCGACTGAATCTGATGCAGAATTACCGCTGCTGGGTAAGGCAGACTGCAGAGTTGCTGAGTCCTGAGCTGGTTTATAGATCTTCCTGATCTTCGTTGTAGCATTTGAGTCTCGTGATCTGCTTTATGCCTTTCACTGTATGGCAGAGGAGCTTCATTTTGGATGAATACACAAAATGCTCTTTTATTTTATTGAAAAATCTCAAGTTTGTTATGAGATATGTAAACAGTGTCATCTCACTTTTCTTCAAGGTTTTGGTTTGGGGAATTTCTGTGAATGGGTTTTGTTTTGCCTTGTTTGTACTAAGGGTTAAACCTCACCTGTGATAGGCAAGTCCTTTACCACTAAGTCTTTACTTTTATAGCCTCTCCCCCTGCCCTCCCCTTCTCGGGTGTTAACAAGTTATTTATTATAGTCGGTTGTTATTACTCTATGGGCTCTTCTTTATTCTTTGTTCTTTGCTCTTTGGGGGGCCCATAACCCAGCTTCCAAATAAACCACACACTGAGTTTTATTCCTACTTAGGAATGCCCAGCCTTACTTAGTTTGGCTTGTTTCTAGCCAGCTTTTCTTAAATTATCCCATCTACCTTTTGCCTCTGGGCTTTTACCTTTCTCTATTTCTTTTTTTTTTAATCTTTATTTATTTATTATGTATACAGTGTATACATAATATGTATGCCTGCAGGCCAGAAGAGGGCACCAGATCTCATTACAGATGGTTGTGAGCCACCATATGGTTGCTGGGAATTGAACTCAGGATCTCTGGAAGAGCAGCCAGTGCTCTTAACCTCTGAGCCACCTCTCCAGCCCCACTTTTATCTATTTCTCTATATCTTTTCTTTCTTTCTTATTCCATGCTGCGTGACTGGCCCCTTCTTTTCTTCCTCCTGGATCCTTTTCTCCCAGATTTCTCTTCTATTTATTCTGTCTTCCTGCCTTGCTGTTCAGCTCTTTATTAAACCAATCAGATGTTTTAGACAGGCAAAGTAACACAGCTTCACAGAGTTAAAAGAATGCAACACATCTTTGCATCATTAAAACAAATGTTCCACAGCATAAACAAATGTAACACATTTCAAATAATACCTCACAACAATTTATGGCAAGTATAGAAGCTAATAATTAGCCCACAAAATTAAGCACCATCCCTGTAGGCCTTGTTTTCAGTTGTTTCTGGTTCTGGGAGTGACCAGTGAGAAGTTAATGGACTAGGTTTCTTTTCCCCCAGACCCTGAATTCCTTATCAGAATTAATGGAATGTTGGACATTTTATCAAATTTGATTCTCAGCCTGTCTGTCGCCTTATTACTTTTTAGCTCTGGCATATGTCACTGTCTTTGTTAGTCTTCTCAGGTAAGGAAATCAAAATAGAGGACTAGATCTATAACACAAAGGTAGTTGAAATCATCTGACTGGGAAATCATCTGAGATTTTTATTGCCGTTTAGTAATGAACATGGTAGGGGGGCTCTCAAGGTCCGCCCCTTCTGAGGCTCTAAGGGCATTGGCTCATTGCTAGAAGAGATACTTTCTTTGGTATAGCCACATGATTCTATAAATAACCACTGGTCATACTTCTGTAAGCAACCTTAATGAAGCTCATTGGGTCAGTTTTGAGGAAGAGAAAGGAGAGAGGCTGGTTGAGAAATCAGCAGGGTGAAGAGAGGTTGATCCACATACATTGTACACATGTGTGAGAATGGCATAGTAAAGCCCACCGTGCATAATTAATACATGCTTACTAAAACATCCTACAGTTGGCGGTCATAACATTTCATTACAAGAGCTGGGCGGTGGTAGCGCACACCTTTAATCCCAGCACTCGGGAGGCAGAGGCAGGCGGATCTCTGTGAGTTTGAGGCCAGCCTTGTCTACAAGAGCTAGTTCCAGGACAGGAATCAAAAGCTACGGAGAAACCCTGTCTCGAAAATCAAAAACAAAACCAAAAAAAAAAAAATTCATTACAAGCCTGAAGGCTTAGAAGCAAGAACAGAGTCCTTGTACGTGAGATTGAGCCATGTTTACCTTTTGTTTTGAGTGGGAAAGTAAAAGACTGTGATTCGGGTGATGGAAGCTGTGAGTTTTAAAGGCCAGACTTCCACAGCAGGTAGCTGTTTGCTCTGGGACAGGTCTTGTGTGGACAGAGCTGGTCTTGAACTCCTGATCCTCCTGCTTCTACCTCCCAAGTGCTGGAATGGCAAGTGTGTGACACGAATCACAGCTTCTAGCATTTTGTGATTTAGCCTCATGGTTCTGAGAGTTGTTAAATCTATGCTTTTCAGTGTTATGGGAAAGCTGCTTGCCTTTGCGGGAAAAAATGGATTTCAAGTCCACAAAGTGAGTTCCAGGACAGCCAGAGCTGCTAAACAGCGAAACTGTCTCAAATAAACAAACAAAAAAGGATCACAGAATAAATGTAGCGAATTTTATGACACAAGATATAGGACATGCTCTAGCTGGGAATAGTGGGACATCGGTTAATCTCCACACAGGCAGCCGGATGCTGAGCCTTCAAGGCCAGTCTGGTCTGCCTAGCTAGTTTAGGCCAACCAGAGTATGCAGCAAGAGGGGACGAAGGTGTTTGTGTGTGGACACGTGTATGTGTGTTTCCTGTGCTCATGTCCCTCCCATCCTTTCTTACAGTGGCATGGCTGTACTCTGATATTTGGTGTTGTGGATCACTTAAAACAACACTTGCTCACTGACCACACCAATCCGAACTTTCAGACGCTGAAGTGTCGCTGGAAGAACTGTGATGCTTTTTTCACAGCTAGGAAAGGATCCAAGCAGGTATTTCTGCGGGATTGGACCAACCTGGGCTCAGCAGATATTTTAGACAAGTGTGGTGTCAACCTTCCTAATGCTGCGACCCTTTAATGCAGTTCTTCATGTTGTGCTGACCCCAATCATAAAAGTTATTTCATCGCTATTCATAACTAATTTTGCTGTTAAAAATCATAATATAAATATCTGATATACAGGATATCTGATATATGACCCCTGTGAAAGGATTGTTCGACCCCCAAAGGGGTTGTGACCCACAGATTGAGATCATTGACTTAGAGCAAAGACCAGTAAACCCTGTTTGTCTTTTAAGGTGTTCAGGATTGCAAGAAATAGGGAGTGGCTAGGAATTTTCCTTTTTATTGCTCAGGAATTTGAGAGTTAATTAAACAGGATTTTCAAAAAATAATTGGTCTGTTTTTAATAAAGAGGTTAAGCAGAGTCTTTAGGCTTGTGCTCTTGTGCTAAGGGGAGATGTATAGTTTCCTGTGGTTATCAGCATTAACTTTCTGCTGCTCGGCTGCCTGCTTGTTTCTCATGGCTCTTTCTTTTTTCCTCCTAGGATGTTGCAGGACATATTGAACGACATGCTGAAGATGACAGCAAGATGGATTCGTGAAGTTTTTTGCCTCCCATGTTGGGAAGTCATTTGTAAATTGTTTTCACATTGGCCCTCCCACAGGCCGCTCTGTCCTCCAATGAAGCTGGGAAGGAGAAAGTAGCTCACAGCCAGACCTACCACTAGCAAAGTCTGGGCAGTCTGTGGGAAGATAGGTTACATACAATTCAAGTCTGTGCTGGAGCGTTTAAGGGTGATGTTTAAGCAGATTTTAAGAAACCAGGTTCTTCTGGGAGAGATGACAGTGATTTATGCTAGTAGATTATAGTTGTTTATTAAAGAATCAGATTTTAATTGTTACCCAGTTTGACCCTAATCATACACATATTTTATTGATTCCATTTTTCATTTCTGCTTTATGTTCGTATGAAGGCTTATGATAGGTTGTTCAGGATCAGTTTTAACTCCTTCTTTTGAGATAACTGGGTATTTAAAATTGAAGCAATCATTTTCTTTTTTGATAATTATGTACAGTGTTTCACTAGTGAGTGCTCTGTAGATGGACAGAGCTGGCTGTAGGAACAAAACATGGAGAGTCCCGAGAAACAGCCTTTCTAGTGTTTTAAACCACTCCAGGGTGCTCAGTGTGGCGCCCCTTCACTGCTGCAGTCACTGCCGCTCGAACTGAAGTCTACCTTCATTCCCTTTCCAGCATCTGGCTCTCAGAGTCCACAGAGCCTGGACGCCTTGTGGGTTGCTCTGTGGCCAGCTCCTATCTCTGACTACCTTGCTGTGCCTAAAGCAATGGCACAGGGGGCTCATGGGTGCTTTCACCCCTCCTGCAGCTCCCTAGATAGGGGAGCTGGGGAAAGCATCTAGATTCAGGGATGTGACTTCTGGAGCAGTGTCTGCCTCACATCTGTGCCACTCAAGACACTGGAGCAGTGAAGGAAAGGCAACCATTGGGAGCACCCATGTCACGTGCCTTAGCAGGATCGCTTTGGGCTTGGATTGTCTCGAGACTTGTGTGTAAAACTAAACAAGTGTTACTTTCTAATCTTTCGTTTCTGGATTCTCAAAACTCGGGTTCTTCAGAGGGAGAGGACCCTCATACCACACTTCCTAGCTTCAGGATGCAATGCTTTCTGGTACTAGGATTGCAGATTCTGTTTTTGTACCTGGCCTGATCAAACCTCCCCATACCATAGGCTCTAGGGCAGGGCAACTCCACCAGGGATTGATGGATGGGCTGCAAGCCAGTCTGAATCCTCTGAAATTGCATGGAAGACTAAGTATGTCTTTTTTCCCCCTTGGAATGGTTCCAGTAGTTCTTAGTGGATCCAGAAAATGTTAAGAATGAATCTAGCGGCTGATGATAACTCATGAGTGACTATTGTTTGGGAAAACTTTTGTTGACCACATGGCTGCCGCTGAGATCTTACTGACAAAGCATAATTATGCCATTTCTGTGTAAGATCAAAAACCTTCCCCACCTCTCACCTCCACTCCCTGTAAGGGGGACCAGAGGACACACACTTCTGTGAGTCTGGGAAGTGATTACTTAGGAAAGCTCATGTGGGTTTATTGCTAAACCTGCATCATTCTCTGGACTACAGCATCTCCCGGGTTTCCACGTAGGCAGGCAGCGTGCTAAGGAAGCACAGGTTCCTGTTCACCCAGGGGAGTGCAGGAAGGGATGAGGGTGGCGCTGGTGCGCAGCAGGGAAGAAGAGTGGCAGGTGTTGACCAGCGGTGGGGACGCTGGAGGGCTTAAGGGCATGCTGTTGGGCAGGATCAGGAGGAACTGTGGTCAGAGTTTCCCTTGGTGGCATTGTGTGCATGTGTTTGCTCGCTCGTGTGCGTGTGTGCGCTCACACGCTTGCACCTGCACTGCCGTGTCCTCATTTCACAAGGGTCTCTTTGAAGCAGTGGATTGAGAACTGTTCTCCGGGTTGAGACAGAAGTGCGACTCCTGCGTAAGTTGTTCACTAAATCTATCATTCACATCAGCCCCCGGTTCCCTAAAGGGGGTAGCTCGGGTCTGCTGATTTGATGAAGGAAGTGACTAATAGCCTGCCAAACCCAAGACATTTCTTAGGAGTACTTGCAGGTCATTTTTAATGTTTTTAATCTTTTATGCCTAGTCCAGCAGCTCAAAGCAAAGAAAATCTTAAAAAATCCTTTTGTGTTTACAGTGACGGTTCTAATAAAATACCAAACACTTTGATTTTTTTTTTTAAGTTTTCACTTAGGTTCAAAACACATATTGACTTATTTTGCTCAACTATAAACAATGCAAATTTAAAAAGGGCAAGACATGTCATTCTGACATTACTTAAGTTTGAGAAGTTGTTATTCAGCATTACACTTGTTACTTTTGTGAGGCAAATGTTTTACTCAGGAGAGTTAGTAGTTGAGGATTTGAATTCATGAATTACACAGAACCAAGCCAATACTTTTTGTGATTGAAGTGACTCTTGCCAACCAAGGTTTGGTTTTTGTTCTCTTTTGTTTCTGGTAGATTTATCTATGGGACAATTTCAGTGTGTGGGCATGTGGCCGAGTTGTTGGGTGTGGGTGCACACTTACAGGAGTGACAGTATTATCTCATGGAAGATAATTCATTGGGAAGGAAATTGAGGTATATCGTGAAGTAGAGTTTGAACAACACTGGTCTTGTGGTTTGGTTAAATAGCTGCGATTTGCTTATACTTACATAGCAAATTTGTTCCTGTTGCTTCAAGGAGAACTCTAGGATTAACTTATTAAGGCTGTACTTGCTGTTCTTGTAGTGGTTTCATCCCTGTCCTGTCATTGAGAGCCTTGGGTTTGAGGGAGGTGGCCCAGTAGGGAAGAAGGGGAGAAGCTGTGGTGGGGGTGGGGTCCCACACTTCCAGATGCAGATGTGTGTAAGATTAACCTACTGCTCACCACACAGCAACCTTCTCTTCACCTCCAGCCCAAGGACAAGGCCCAGAAGTAGCCCAGTGCTGGCAGAGGGTAGAAAGGAAAGGCCGTGGGGAGAGCAATGCCCAGAACTGCCCAGCAACTTGGTTTCTTATTGTATTCCAACATTAAATATGGATTAGAAGAAATGTCAGGTGACGTTTGACTGCAAAGATATTTCTAAACAGCCTTCTTACGTTTTGGTATAAAAGCTGTGAACTTCATAACTTTGTAAGTGAGATATAAAGCAAATACAAGAAGAAAATAAAGTACTTTTACTAAGTGTTCATTTTGTTACTTTGTGTTTTCATAATTAAGAGCCTTTTTCACTTTGGCGTAAAGAACAGACAGTGAGCAGGAAACATGGTGCTCACGTCAGACAGGCCTGTGAGCAGAGGAGCTGGGATGCAAACAATCACCTCTCCTGCACCAACCTGTGCTAACTGGCCCATCCTGCTGCCCATTTATTTGACTTAAAATTTGTTTACTTTGCCAGGCAGTGGTGGCTCACGCCTTTAATCCCAGCACTTGGGAGGCACAGGCAGGCGGATCTCGGTAAATTCGAGGCCAGCCTGGTCTACAAAGCGAGTTCCAGGACAGCCAGGACTGTTATATAGAGAAACCTTGTCTGTAAATAAATAAGTAGTTTATTTCATGATTTCATACATATGCACTTTGATCATCCCTGTTCACCCTCTACTGTCCATGTGTGCTCTACATCAGCAATCCTGGAAAATATTTGAGTGGTCCTTTTGCTCGGGAACTAGCAGTCGTGGGGCTGGAAGGGTGGCTCGGGGGTTAAAAGCACTGACTGCTCTTCCAGAGAACCTGGCTGTGGTTCCCAGCACCCACGTGACTCTCACAGCCATCTCTAACTCCAGTTTTAGGGAATCCGATGCCCTCTTCTGCCTTCCACAGGCACAAGGCATATAAGAGTTGCTTAGACATAAAAGCAGGCAAAACACTGGTACACATAAAACAGATTAAAAGAAAAGGTAGTAGACATGATTTCGGTAAGACTCAAGCCTTTGATTTTATATGTATTTTCCATTATATTTCCTGAAACTAGAGCTTGCTTTTCCCCACTAATACATTGTACCTTTCCAGTACCTAACAGAATCAGGTATATCCATAGGCTAAACTGGGTTTTATTGTTTTGTTTTTCAAGACAGGGTTTCTCTGTGTAGCTTTGGAGCCTGTCCTGAAACTTGCTCTGTAGACCAGGCTGGCTCCAAACTCCGCCTGCCTCTGCCTCCCAAGTGCTGGGATTAAAGTGTGCGCCACCACCGCCCGGCCTATACAGGGTTTTCTTTGTGTTGTATACGTGTGTGCAGGTGTGAGGGTCAGATCGGCTTTGGGTGCTTTCCTCCATCTCCCTGTGTGCAGGTGTAGGGGTCAGATCGGCTTTGGGTGCTTTCCTCCATCTCCCTGTGTGCAGGTGTGCGCATGCCTGTGGAGGTCAGGTTGATACTGTCTTCAGTCTCCACCTTTCTCATGAAAGCCGAGGTTGTCTCTCCCTTTAACCCAGAACTTGCCAGCTCAGCTAGACTAGCCAATCAGGCCAAGGATCCCCTTTCTTTGTCTCCCTTTGGTATGAGAGTACAGGTGGGTGATCACTCCTCCAGTAGGCTTTTTTGGTTTTTCAAGACACAGTCCTGGCTGTCCTGGAACTTACTTTGTAGACCAGGCTGGCCTCTAACCCACTGAGATCCTCCTGCCTCTGCCTCCCAAGTGCTGGGATTAGAGGCGTGGACCACCACTGCCTGACCTCCACCTTATTTTTGAGACAGGCTCTCACCAAATACTGTCCCTTTGACTCGACTGGCTGGACAGCAGGTCTGTAGAATTCCTGTCTTTGCTCTCCAGTACTGGAGTTACAGGTGTGTGCTGCCACACTTGACTTTAGGGATCTGTACTGGGGTCCTCCATGCTTGTGTAGCCCTGTGTCTACTGAATCATCTCCCTAGCCTCAAACTAGGCCTTTCTGGAGGTGATAAAAGTATATCTGGAAGACAGTCATGCTGTGGCTAAGAAGTGATAAGAAAACTGGAACCAGCCATACATGTGCCTTTATTTAGATAGCTTTTTTCAGAACCCAGCCAAATTGTCAGATACCCCAAAGTATCAGCCCTGCTTACCCCAGAGTAAACCCATCCTAAAACTGGCAGAACTGGGTGTAGACTTGGTGACTGGGCTCCTGTGTGAGTACCTCTAGCAGGTACTGTAGACAGCCCAGTGCAAGCTAAGTGGGCAGTTCAGAATCAGCAGTGAGGCTGCACCTAGGTCGGGCAGACACTAGCCTTCGGGTGACAGAGTTCTCCCGAGCATCAGGCTGGACACCAAGATTTGGGGCATAGTGGAGAAGGAACAAGACCAGAAGCCCCCTAGGCTTCTACCGGATTCTTTGTGGTCAATGGCTCTAGCTGGGTTGGGTTGGAGTCCTGATTGATCTTGCATGAGGCCTGCCTGGTTCAGGCATACATGGTAAGCTGCAGCCACTGAAAGAGGAAACCCCACATCAGTACAGAAACAAGCAGAGAACCGTCAGCCCCAGGATCTCTCACATAGGGAAGCAGACAAGGGCAGGGTCTTAAAAGGAGCATCCTGCTCCCTTTCCTGGGTCTTTTCTAAGAGAGTGTTTTCTGGAAGTGCAACTTGGGGGACAAAGGCCTCATGGTACACACGCCCCAGGAACCACTAGGCCCCCTTTCAAGTCCCTGTCTGGGAGTGAGGCGCACACAGGGTCCAGTCCGTCTCGTTCACTCCACCTTGGTTGTGTGGTGCGGAGGGTGTGCTGTTTGTTACGCTTACCTCGAGAACATTCAGTTTGATGATGCCATCTCCGTCCTTGTCGAATGCATTGAAAGCTCCTGTGTGAAAGAACGCATAGGCCAAAAGCCAGTCACTATCTCTGCCACGATGGTTTGCACTTTCCTATGAGGGTTTTGGCTTTGTTTGTGTTTGCTTTTTTTAAAGAGTTTATTATTGTGTGTGCTTCTGGGCACATCACAGAACACATGTAGAGGTTGGAGGGCAGCTCTGAAATTGGTTCTTGCCTTTCACCTCATGGGTTTCAGCCATTGAGCTCTGGTCACCAGACACATGCAGCTGAACCAAGGTCTATCCATGGCGCCTAGGCTGGCCTTAAACGCATAATCCTCCTACCTCTGCTACCTGCGGGATCACGAGTGAGCATTACCTGAATGCTCAGATTTGTAGTTGAAGAAGCCCCTGTGCCCTGCTGACCTTCAGCACAGATCCACGCAGTACATTGTGGTCATGGTGTCTCTTCACAGCAGTAGAAGCCCTAACTAGGACACTTACTGAACATCCCCTCCAGCCTGACGAAGCAGCAGATGAAACTGTCAAAGTCGATGTTCATGTCTTTGTCTGCATAGCGCATGGTGATGATGTCATAGAGTTGGCTGTTGAGGTGGAAGCCTAGAAGGGCAGGGAAAGGAAAGGGAGTGAAGTTCGCAGGCTTGCAGTCTCTCTTTCCTGCTTCTTGGCCACACTGGCCTGGGAAAGGAGACACTCCCCCTTCTCTCTGTACCAAGACCCTAGTAGTCGCCCATCCCATCCTGCTTTCACAGGTCTCGGGTCTGCATCTTATGCCCTCTGCCCCCAGCACCTGCATCGTTGACCGCGTTTCGCATCTCATAGCTATTGATGGTGCCGGAATGGTCTGTGTCATAGTGTTTGAAGATTTTCTGAGAATAGAAAATTCGAAGATAGCGGTTACACACAACCCCAAGTTAACCCTGCCCACTCCCACGTTAGACTCCCGTCCTACCTGCCAGGCCTTGATCTTTTTCCAGAGGTGATGGAACTCCTGCAGATTCAGCCTCCCAGAGCCATCTGTCTGGAGGATGGATGTCAGGGCCACATAGAAAGATCCCCTGAACTGGGAGTGGAATCTAGGGTACCATGCAGGAAGGCGGAGCAACCAGCATCCTCTCTACCTTGCTCCTGATCCCAGGTTCTATCCTTCCCCTCCGTCCTTAACCAATCAGAGTTCCTGCCATCTCTACTGCCCACTGAGCCTGTCCCCTAAGAATAGTCCTTGTTTGGGCAGCATCCCAAACAGGATTTCAGGCCTGTGGTAAGACAGAAGATGACAACAAGCCAGAACCCAGTATCCTTCCCTAACTATTCCTGCCAGACCAGGATGGCCTGAGTCAGGATCCCCTTAAGCCTTTCCCTAGGCATGGACACCCCTAATTGTTCCCCTGACTCTATGGACAGATGGAAGAGGATTGGGGATGGTGGCCGGAAGGATACATCCATGAGAGCTATCATGCTTCGGCAAGACTCCAGGGTGAACCCTTGTGTCTTCAGGTCCTTGTCTGGGGGGATGGAGAAGGGTGAGGAGCTGCTTTCAGACAGCTGTGGCCCCTGCCCATCCCCCGCATCTGGCGCGAGTCCCTCACGTTTGTTCACCACTGTGTTAAGGACATTCTTGAGTTCATCTGCACAGATCTCCATGTCCTGCAGGAGAGGAGAACTGTGAAGGACAGAGCAACCAGTGGACCAGTCCCAGCTGCCCATGCTTGTAAGATCCCTGTTCTTCTGCCGTGGGAAGCTGGGGCTTTTCTGAGCAAGGCAGGCCAGTTTCTGCACCCTCGGCTGTAGCAAGCAGCTCACAATCCAGTAGCTGTGTTAGTCCCAAACACAAAGGCACAGGTTTCTGTGAATGTGACCCACATCCTCTGCTAAACAGTGGGTCGCTTGAGTTGGGGGCCTGAGGCTAGGAGGAAAACACGTACATCGCCTGCGATCTGCCTGAAGATGTTCCGGAACTGTTGCTGCTCCTCAGTCTCCTGGTCTGTGTGGCCAGGCCGTGCCTGTGGGGACACAGAAGACCAGTTCATAAGAACCTGGGTCTCAGTCCCAAACAGCCCCGCAAAGCAGAAGTAGCTGGCGCTGGCTTATGTTCTCAGTCGACCGGCAGCGCCTTCCTCATTTCAGCAGCTCTGGCCCTCTGCTTCTCTAGCCCTGCCCGGCACCTCTAGCCAAAGGACGCCTTTGCCATGCCAACATGCAGATAGCATCCTCCATCCTCTCCCTACCCTCTCCACTGTTTGGAGCCCGGCTCTTCCAGTCAGGTCCTCTAGCTGCCTCCTCAGTCCAGCCCACTATGTGGGTACTTCTGGGTAGAGTACATGGCCCCCGGAGTTCTGTAGGACTGCATGGCTGCTGCCTCCCCCACCCCGCTTTCTGCTACCACCCTTTTCCCTCCCTTGTCAACAACTCTGAACTCTCCAGCAGGCCTGTCTCAGCTCTGTTC